CTATGTTCACGCTGTAAGCCTTAACACTCAGTTCTGATTTATTGCTCAGATCAGATTTTTGGTTTTCTTTGGATGTTCACATTATTTTTTAAATGTGGCTCATATCAGATTCCAGAGTGAACAGGTCATGTTCCTGAAGTGACCTGTATGACGAATGTTTGTCAAGAGTGACGGAAAAGTCGCATGAATTATGATATGACTATTCACACATGGCAAAAATCAGACCTGTATCATGTGAAAGTGGTCCATAGCAGAACTGAAAAGATCAGATTCCCTGCATCGACATATACAAAGATGGACAAGCCTGTAACCTCCATGTTAACAGATGGGACAAACAAAAAGTCAAAATATATGCTGCTCATTTTTCGTGCTTCTAACACATCAACTTAAGGGCAAAATGTTCACTTGCTGCTTGATAATATCCCACCCACTGACAGGAGCCATGATAACCAGATAATCAGTGTTATTCACTTCACCTGTCAGTGCTCAGTTTGGCTATGTTCACACTGCAGGTCTTAAAGGCACACTATGCAAGATTTTTACCTTAATATAACAGCTTCGAAGTCATTTCGATGGTAAAAAAAACTTGTAGTATAGTGAATCATACCGATAGCAAAGCAGGAGAGGGATGCCGCTGGCAGAACCAGCAATGCAAGTCTGAAAGGTGTCGTCCCGCCAAATCTCACGAGAATCACTAATTGCTTGACGGCGCGACGTCACATACATCAGCGACATAAGAAGCAGCCTCAATGGAAGACACTAACAGGCATTCACTCAGATATTACCTGGTCAGTAGACATCTTCGGAGTCTATCTTTGCCTGTTCGATGTCCGACGCTTCCATCCTACTGAACATGTACCGGTATATATAACAGGTGCCGTATATAGAGACGGCTCTGGTGAGTGGTATTTACGACAGTTAACGTTAAATACAAGTACTCCACAGCGACTGTGGAAAACTGCATAGTATGACTTTAATGCTCAATTAGGTTTTTTTGCTGAGACCCATTTTTTTGGTGTGGTTGTTCACATTATAATTTAAATGCGACCGCCATCAGACTCCAGTGTGAACATTCTACGCCCCAAAAGTGACCCGCATGCGCAGAAGACGTGACGTCACTCGCAGCACGCTGTGTTTATGGAAGTAAATATGGATGCTACACATGTCAACGGTGTCTGCCATGCTTTCGTCCATTGCTTTGATATTGCCGCGTCCCGCCTCCTCCTTTATTTTTGTACAGTGGGAGGAAGTGGAGACGCCATGTCCATCTTTTATATGTCAATGATTCCATGTGATCTCTGCTGTTCACACTGTCATGAAATATCAGATCTGGGCCACTGCAGTGTGAATGCAGTCACCTTTACAGCTTTTATGTTCTGTGTCTATATCATATTTTATGTTTACCAAGAAATGAATTGAGTACACTGCCCTTTAGGGGGGTAACAAGCTGACAGTACTGACAGTCGTAGGGTTAATCACTGCCATTTGTCAAGGACAGCATCGGCTTCTGCTCCTGATAGTGAAAACACTCTTTACTAGTAATAACATTACAGTAATAATATTACTTTCTCCAGTAACTAGTAATGTAACTAATTACTAAAACATTTCAGTATTTATACGAGTTACTCAACCCCAAAAAACTAGGTACAACTTTTGTTGTCACCCCCTACTGATCTGAAATATAACAATCTAAGTAGTAATCTGGAAGTAGCCTAAAATCTGGCACCATTAGTTCATATAAATGTTTATAACTTTAATGACTTTCTCTTTTTACTGTGATTTACATGTGTATGCTGGTATTTATGGCAGGAAAGAGATATTACCTTTTTTTATGAGTTCTAAGTTTTAAAATGTTAATTTTTCAAATCAAATAGGCTATAAATATTATAAATAATACAAAAACAATGAACTTCACATATTTAGCTTTTAGTATGACGTAATTCTAGAGCCTTTCTCTCAGCACCCCCAGCTCTAACTGACTTCCAGCATTCCTGATGGTGGAGGGAACTAGCTTGGAAGATTGAAATGCTTACATCCAGTAGCTGGAAATATTCACATGACTTTGATTTTAACAAACAAAACTAGATTTCAGTCTGAATTTTGGGGAGAAGGGACACAGTTACCAATTTTGTGGGGAGTAGCAGAAACATAATATAACTAGGAGTGTAACTAATTACTGTTGGCAGGGAGTAATAAATAAGAGTTTTTCTAATTACTAATTCTAATTTCTATAAGTTTTCCTATTGATTGTGACAGCGCTGTTGTTCCACTAGGTGGTGCTATGTGGATTAAAGTTACGGGTATATGTAATCTTCCAGTTGTGTAGTTTTTGTTCATTAAATCTTCATAACTCACTTGGAAGTTTTGGAATATTGAAATTACATCTTAACAAAAAACAAACAAACAAACAAACCCATTAATTAAATTTTTGCTAAAAGTAAAACTAGTGAAGATGGATTTAGAGCTCTGCATGTGATGGGACTCCAGGGGCTGTCAAAAGTCATACAATCTCACACACATTAGTAAATAGTTCTAAATGAGTAAATGTGACACCTCACATGCTTTTTTAAAATAATAGTAAATGGTCAATGGACCTGTACTTGTATAGTGCCTTTCTAGTCTTCCGACCACTCAAAGCGCTTTTACACTACATGCCACATTCGCCCTTTCACACACATTCACACACCAATGACACAGCATCAGGAGCAATTTGGGGTTCAGTTTCTTGCTCAAGGAACATGCAGCGCCCAAATGAAGACCTATGGCCCTTTAAGGCCACATTTCATACAGCTGAGGAAGTGAAGACAGTTGACTTCCTCCGGTGGGAAGAGACGTGAGCAGTTTGACATAGTTACAGTAAGGTGACAGCACAAAGACCACAACGTGTGAAGTAGACATCATATGCTGATATTTTCCATTCCTTAGAGCATCAGCTCCTAACAAACCTGAACCACCTCACCTTGAACATGAAATCGACTGTGCATGTGGCCCGCTCAGCTCGAAATGTCACACTGTTGCACAATCTCTTTCATGCTGCGTTATAGATAGCTTGGCTGTTCTCCTTTTCACTCTGTGACGCAGGTTGTTGCAGCAGGATCACAAAATCAAATTTTTTAAAAATTATTTGGTTGTTTAGTGAAAATACAAGGTAAATAAGATAAATAAGAGATTAATACATAAAGGCTTTCACATGTTTTTTGCAGTTTCAGAGCATTTCAGATTTGTCGTCATAGTGACCTTAGATAGTTGACCAGTGTGTAATACAGAAGATTTTGAGACACTAAAATCACATCAGCCATTTCATATGGGATTGTTTTTATAACTAAACTCTAAGCCGACTAAGAATTACATACATTGAGTGTGTTCATGTTTTTCAAGTAACAGGCAAACGAAAAAAGGCATGCAAGAATAAGAAGTACGTAAGACAAGTGTAATCACACTAATGCAAATACATTTGTGAAATGTTGCTGACGTGCGAAGGCACAGTAAGAACACATTCTATTGGAAATGGAGGCCACACAAACATATAAACCCTTATGGATGCTTACATTTGTGTTTCTGTGACATAATGGCCCCTAACCCAAACCTCAAACATTACAACTACATGCCAAACCCCAACCCTTAACCCAGTCAACACCCACAGTAAGCCTAATCTTAAAGCTTCAGTAGGTGCATTTCTATTAAAAATTGTTTTTTTGTATTTGCTGAAACTTTCACTATATCCTGACAGTAGTACATGAGACAGATAATCTGGGAAAAAATCCTCTGGCTCCTCTTAGAGCTCCTAATGGCATTTGTAAGAATCCACATTTGGACACACTTTTTATTAGCATACATTAACATGTCAAAAATGTTGGTAAGTTTTAGGACATAACTACTGATCAGTAAATGGCTGCAGCTTCTGGGCCAGTGTGTGTTTTACTGACAGTGTGTTGTGAGTGTGAAACACACCAAAGGCAGCTGGCACTTCCTGAGTGGTAAACATGTTCTGCTTATGACACATGACTGACTATCTTTCCCTGCTTAAACAGCTCAGTGCTAACGCTCCAACACACACCACCCACCCACACACACACACACACACACACACACACACACTATATATATATATATATATATATATATATATATATATACACACACATATATGAAGGGAATCATTTAAAGACAAAATAGAATAAATAAAACTTTTGGTTTTTAGTCTTTCAGTCAACAAGGGTTTAAAAAAACGTTTCCATTATTCATCGCATGGCTTCACTGTCTCGCTTGAGCAGACAGACCTGTGTGTCTGTCGGGAAACTAGTGGCGGAAATAAGTACATTTACTGAAGTACTGCCCATTTAATTTAACTGTAAATTACATCGTAAAATTAAAAGATTTCCATTCTTATGTTGCTTAATTTGTGCCATAAAACAATAAACAGCAATTAGCAACAGATTACATACGATAAAATTAGGTACATCATACATGATTAGCTCCATGTTTGTAATATTCAGTAATATTCATCTAAGATTGTCATTGCATGGTAAGGGTGATTCAATTTTCTCTATGATAACATGTAATAGCAACTGTTTTATTTTATTATATTATGTATGTATGTATGTATGTACACTGTATATAAATATCATGAAAAGCATAAAAAACATCTTATATCACATGCAGGCCAGATTTTTAAGACACCAAATCTTAAAAATACATTTACAGATAGTATTCTAATTTTTTTTCTTCTCAAGATATTGTTTGCCCATCTACTGTTTTCCATGGTCAACAATAAACATTCTGTCAATGAAAATATATTTTTTTAAACAATATGTTTATTGTTTTTACATGAAAATACATTTTAAAATATGATGAAATGCATGAAAATTAGCGCTGTCACTTGTGCTTGCTGTCGCATCATTTCCTGCACGCAGCATAAATGTTGGTCAGTGTTCAGATAAAAAAAAAAGGAAGTAAGAGAATTAAAATGTCAAGGAAGTCGTTGAAATGAGGAAGCTTTAGTGTTTCACCAGTTCACTGTGTGTCAGCTCACAGACTGGTAGTCCGCTCCAGCTGGGATCAATTGTGAGTGATTGACTGTTTTCAAGTAGTTTTGACAGCACATTTGTTTTGTTTATCAGGAAGTGGCTGAATTTAGGATGACCTGTTCATATGTCACCCAAACTCCTGGCAGCTGATATGCTGACGGACTAGAACAGACCTTGAGGAGGATAAGCACTCTGGAACCACTTCACCACAGTGAACAGTAAGTGCAGGATTAGTGTTTGCTGTTTTGCCTGTTCATGACTTTTTGGACTTCACTTCATTTGTTTCAAAATGTTCGAATTTTTGTTCATTCCAAGAATTAATTAATTATCTTGAAATTAACATAAAATAATATCTTAATTGCCCTAGTATTGTTCATTTATTAAAGTGTTTTCTTAGAAATTAAATTAATATTTTAGGACTATTTTACTCCACTATGGTTTTTGACCGCTGTAGATTACAATTTAACAACAAGAAATGTATAAAATACCAAGATTGAACCAGGGTTGTAACCCCAAAAAAGCTGCACTACCCATGTCACATCTACGAGTTGTTAGCAGTTCCACCAAAGAGAGATTTCCCCAACTTATCAGATGGTTTCATTTCAGTGACTCTTTGAGACCAAAAGGAGAAAAGGTATGCATTATATCACAAAAAGACATATTGATGTGTGTATCACAACTTTGTCTTTGCTTCTTTCCAACCACATTAATCATCTCACCTCTCCCCAGATTTACGTTGAGACTGTGGAGTATTGCAACAAATAAATTTAAAAAAAGAGATTACAATTTAATTTATAAACTATATATCAACATATTGATTCTTCTGGAAGACCTGAACAGCAGGTGTTGAATTCATGAAAACTAGCTAATAAGCAAGCAGAGAAGTCTAAACAGTTAGCTAAAAGCAATGGATAAATGGTCAAACTAGCAAAAAGTAAAAGATCAATTGTCAAAATGTAAATGATTGAATAAAATAATTTATAAATTTAAATGGATAAATGGTTGAAATTGTTAAATGAAACAGAAACATGGTTGAATAGCCAAGAGTAATGGAGATACAGTCTAAAACATTAGCTAAAAATAAATAAATGGTTGAAATAGCTAACAAATAATTTGTTAACACTGCCTAAAGAAATGGATATATAGTCTAAAACATTAGCTAAAAGTGAATAAATGGTTGAAATAGCCAAGAGTATGGATAAATAGTTGAAAACGTTACCTAAAAATTGATAAATTGTGGAAACAGGTAAAAGTAACAGATAAATGGTTAAAATAGCCAAAAGGAATGGTTAAATAGTTCAAAACATGAACATGAATTAACCAAAACACTGGCACTGAAAGAAATGACCTAACTAGATAAAGGGGTTAAAACTTGCAATCTACAACAGTGGCATATAACAGCATATCACCACAGGGGTCATTCTTCAGCAGACAAAGTACTTAGATTTTTTTTTTTTTGTTGTTGATAATACCTGTGTACTTTTACTTTAGTCAGATTTTAAAGTAAAGGATCTGAAGACCTCTACCATCACTGGTCTTTACAGTGTATGTTACATGACCTATATAGGCTTTTCTTCTATCGTCTTGTGAACTGGCTGATTTCGTCCTGGCATTGTCATATTTTCATGTGTGTCTGGAGGCAGATATGTAGGAAGCTATAGAAAAAACAAACTAAAATCTTGTATTTTCTAGGGGTCCACTATGGCGGCGTGCCCTTTGCGTGGCTTTGAATTTCAATGACTTGAGTGTACATTGTCCAATCAGCTCCAAACTTCACTTGTCTGATAAGAGTCCCGCCCTGAACACATCTATGTGATAATATTTGCTAATAGTGATAGCGCCACCTAGTGGTGAAAGGAAATGTCATTCCAGCAGATAGACCAGATCCAGCTGAAATTATGTCAGAACTCCCTTAGATGATGACAATGACATCTTTTGAATCTTAAGAATTTTCGTAGAACCATGTTGCCATGGCGACACGGCGGAAATCAGCTTTTGTGTTAACATTTTAACACTTTTTGGGGGGCTAAACATGCCCGAAAACTCATAAAACTTTGTGCAAAATTCAATCATGAGTCTTAGCTACGCCCCCCAGAATCAGCCCCCAAGACACATACCACCGATGTGTACGAAAATTTGTATGCATGTGTATCATGATCGGACAAGCAAAAAAGCCTCTTGGACCCATAACCCAAACCCAACAGGAAGCCAGCCATTTTGAATTTTGTGGTCATTTTCTGCGATTTTTTCATGTTGTATTTTAAAAAACTCCTCCGAGGGTATTTATCAGATCAACTTCAAAATTGGTCAGTACAGTTAAAAAACATTGCTGATTAAAAGTTGTGATATTTGTGAATGTACGTTGAAGGGTGTGTCCGTGCTGTGCTGTCAAAGTCAGCCATTTTGAATTTCTTGGTGATTTCTGTGATTTTTCATGTTGTATATGAACAAATTCCTCTTAGGGAATTTATTGGATACATTTCAAAATTGGTCAGTACAATCAAAACAAACTGCAGATGAAAAGGTGTGCTTTGTGTGACTGTAGGTTGAACGGCGTGCCCATGGCGTTGCTTCGAATCTTGACGATCCGCCATAAAACAGGTGGTACTTCAGTGTACATTGTCCAATCTCCACTAAACTTTATAGTCTGTAACAGTACCACCCTGAACAGGGCCTCATAACTTCAGTGTACATAGTCCAATCTCAATGAAACTGTTTGATAAGAGTCCCGCCCTGAACACATCTACATGACAAAACTTTCAGATATAGTGATAGCGCCACCTACTGGCAACAGGAAGTAAGCGCTGCATGGCAACTTTGATCTGATTTACGTGAAGTTCTGAACTCGTAATTCTTTTGTGTCTGAAACGTGTGACGACGTAGAGCAGTCTCCCTTGGCTTCCGACGATGAGGGCTTGGGCTAGCACTAATAGCTTATCTGCAGCACCAGCTCATTTCATTCAACAGACTTAAAGGACCATTGTGTAGGATTTTGTGAATATCCCATGGTGAGGTTGCAGATAGTACCAATTAATCAGTTTCAGAATTAAATCATCGCTCGCAACTATGTTGGCAATGGTACTCGCGAAAAACATGAAAGGCTCAAACACAGTATGAAATATGTAGTACATACGTCATACTTTGTAATGTGTAGTGATACGTAAATAATAATGACATTGGGGTAATTGTTTGCTAACATGCCTGTCATAACTTTATAAGGTGATGATATGTCAATATTTACAGCTTGTCCTGCTGCCCCCAAGTGGCCATAAAGAGCAGTTAAGGCAGCTTAAGCCCCCCTTCCCACACCTTTCTGGCATGAATGTTTTTTTTTTAACTTTCCAAAAAAGGCAATTAATTGTGGAAGTGAGAGAGTGAGCGGCCTTTGAACTTCTCTATTAATTTCTCTTTTTTCATTTTTTATTACTATTTCTATCACAACCAAATGCAACACCATAAATGTCTTTGAGATACTCACACAGGACTTTAAGTTCCTCTTCCAGTAAAGGCAGCAGCTCCTGACATTTACATAAGCACTGTCTTAAAGCTCCAGTGTGTAACATTTAGGAGGATCTAAGAAATTGGCAGAAATATTTCTGATGTTTTCATTAGTGTATAATCCCCTGAAAATAAGAATTGTGTTATCGTAACCTTAAATGCTACATTTTAGTTACATTGTATGTAGTCTTATAGAACAGGTCCTCTTCTATGCAGTCTGCCACGTTGAACTGCCATTTTTCTTCTTTTTCTTTTGCGAGCTTCACAGCCACCATAGTTTCTTCTGCACACACAGTAAAATTCAGTTCAGTAGTCACTGCCAGTAAATCCTACACACTAGTTCTTTAACTGGAGTAACGGATTACTTGAGTTATGTAATTATTGCAGGAAACAAAACAAAAAAAGATCAGTAGGAACAGTTTGTAAAAATGGGGACTATTACAATTTTAAAATACATTTGAAATCAAGAATGATATAGTACACTGAACATGTTGTGCTTCACAAGTCTCAACAGGAGTTTGTGTTTGGTCTCAGTAAGTTGTACAGTTTCAAGATTCAATACTTTATTGCCATACAACTCGGTGCAAGTTGCTAGGGATTTGCTTCAGTGTGCTCAAGACATCAACAAAGACAAAAAAAAGGACACAGAACATGTAAATAGGTAAAAAAAAATGTATATAATAATAATATGTAAAAAAAAAAAAAATGCTCTTGGTGGTTGGAAATGTCCACATTATTTTGTCTTTATAGCAGAAAAGAGGAACATCATCACAGTACACTGTAAGTTCTGCCTTCCAGCTTTGAGAACGCTCTATAGGCCACTGCCCGAATTTGCTTATTGAAAAGGTTTTATTTAAGAATACATGGAGCAGAGAACACATTTTAGTTGCTAAATGCTACATTTGGGTTACATTGTATGTTGTCTTATAGAATATTTATTTTATTTTATTGATATTTCTGCACAGAATTTGCATATTTGGTTTTGAGGCAATCCAGAAGTTAACTTAACACTACCTTAAACACTCTGGGAGCCTAGTAAGCTCACCTGATACGGTTTACACCTTAGCTTATGCTAAGGCTCCCCCCCTCCCGACCCCCCCACACACACCACACAGCACTACCACTACTTGAGTCCTTTGTTGGTCAGTACATTTCGACAGCACTCATGTACATCACCGCTGTGGTAATGCAACACTTCTCTTCACAGTGTACAACTGGAAAAGTAATTTTACATTGCAACAAATTTCCTGCCACTGTGGTGTGGTTCCCTCTCACGTGGTGGGGTTATTACTTGTCAAAAAGATTAGACAGGACATATAATCTTCATTCTGACAAGTCAAATGTATACCTTGAACTGCCTGACCATTCAAAACACAGCTGAGGATATGAGGTATGGAGGATGTGCTCAGACTTAGTTACTCTGGTTATTGTGACAAGCATCTTACTGCTAATGTCAGTGAAAGGAAATATTTTTATAGCTCAAGGCCTGGTTATTTTGTTCACTTTTCAGTTTTGCCTTGCTAGTAGTAGAACATGGTGGTCAGATGTCTTTGCTCCAGCATGAAATATCTCAACATGGATGGATTTCAATGAAAGTTTGTACAGACATTCATGGTCCCTTGAGGATGAAGCCTACTAACTACTAACTAACCAACACCTGGGATTGGTTGCAACCATGTGTAAACCTATCGTGATGTCATCCATTGGTTTGTGGAAAACCTTTTTGAAGCCTTGAGTTTACCATTATGGTCGTTGCCACAACAGTTTGTTGGAGCCAGCGGACTAAAATATGTTTCTAAGACAATATTAGGTGGTAAAAGATGCAATTCAGTAACAGAATCTTGATTCATATTTGATCAGCACTGCCTAGTTAGACAGTTTGATCTGAGTTTGGTATGTTTAGTAGGACAGACTCACTGAGAATGACCTGTCAATCACAAGGTAGCCACACCGGAAAGCATACTCTGCTTTATCATCTATTTTACTATAAATGGGACCATCATTTACTAAATGAACATCCTGCTGTATGAAAGAAGACTTGAAACTAAAGATTGAGACCATAAACTCATTAGAAAATGGTTTACTGAGCTAATTAATCAAGTGAGAAGTCGGCTCATTTCTCCATAAGATTGCATAGTATCGTTTTTTTTTTCCTTTTCAATGGAACTCCTCCTGTTGGCCTTCACATAGAATGCAGGTTTAAGACAATTCCGCATTGGCTTCAGTTCACAGACCCAGAAGCTCTGTCCATTATTTACACTAATCAGCCATAATATTATGACCACTATGACCAAAACATCAATATAGAGTGATTTATAAACTGATTTTGACGTTACACCTGCTCCTGCTTGCTCTCGGGGAAGAATGTGTGACCCACTCCTGTGAAAACTGAACAGAAGTTAGCAGCAGCAATCACAACTTATAGCAGCAGCAAACTGTTTTATTGTGTTCGATCTCTCTGTTATGTGAATGTGTGTGTGGCTCATCTCAGGATGATCAACTGATGATCATATGGTCTGGGTGTTGCAGATGTCATCATGTTCCTGTCAGAAGCTCAGCTTCGTTTTCATTGTACACTGAGGAGCATACAAGGTGTAATATATAGGATAATATCACTAATAAAGAAGAACTAGCATCATATGTCCCGTGCCACTTGTGTAATGAAGTCAAGTGTTGGATGTTTTACAGTCATCCAACACTTCCTGTTGGAAATCAATATTTTGTTTCTCCATTTTTCGTTCTTTAGGCTACATATTACTGATTTCTGTTAAACCAAAAAGAAAGGAAAAATTTGTTTTTTTTTAAGAGTAATTTCTTTCTTATTTGGTTCTGCTTTTTTTTTATTTTTAGGTTTGTTGCATCCTGGTGGCTGAACTTTGTGAGGGGACTTCCTTAAGGGAGCCACCACCCAGAAGCCAACATGGCTGACACAGTGAATACATTGCCATTCTTCTATGGCAACATCACCAGGGAAGAGGCAGAGGACTACCTGCGGCAGGTGGGCATGAGCAACGGCTTGTACCTGCTACGGCAAAGCCGAAACTACCTCGGGGGCTTTGCTCTTTCCGTGTCATATTCAGGCCGTTGCTACCACTACACCATTGAAAGAGAACCCAATGAATCATATGCTATTGCTGGTGGTAAGAGCCACAGGAACCCTGTGGATGTCATTGATTACCACTCCCAAGAGATGGATGGCCTTGTATGTCTGCTAAAGAAGCCCTGCAACAGGCCCAAGAACATGCAGCCAAAGGTGGGGCCGTTTGAGGACCTGAAGGAAAAACTGATCCGAGAGTATGTAAAGCAGACCTGGAACCTGCAGGTTAGTTTCAAATCCATCCTGTAAGTAGAAGAAATGTAGTTTTGAATCTCTAAAATGTTAAGTCAAGAGAGTAAGATTTAGGGCATTTTAAGTAATTTCTATGTTTGAGTGCTTGCATTAGATTAATATTAAGTACTCGATGACTTGAGGAAAAAATCTAATGTAATAATAGGGCTTGAAATTAACACCCAAGCACTGGTGATGTTAGAGTTATTATATCTTTCTGTGCTGTACAGACTGTTGAAATTAGCCAACATGAAGAAAAACCATATCTACAAACATGTAAACAAGTGTTTTTGAAATAATTTCAATAGTTCAATAATTTGGCTCGTTTACTTTTTTCATCTGCAGTCACCTTGGCCCATATAATTGTTTCTGTAAGAATATCTATTGCTGTCTAATGTTTCCACATTTATCTAAATTAGCCAAAGTGCAATTTGAGTGCAAAGATTAAGAGATGTGTGAGTGCTCCTAATGGCATTAGCAAGAATCCACTGGGTCCAAACGAAAACAACCAATCAGATCTGAGAAAAATGGGAAGATGCTTTGGGTTGGTGGCTTGAAGATAGTTGATTATTGAGTCTTATTCCCAGCATTGATATTTGATGAATGAAACCTAACGGTCAACTATCTCTCTCAGCTCTGATTGGTTGTTTTTGTCTAGGCCACGCTGGATTCTTACAAATGCCATTAGGAACAGGAGGAGCCAGAGGAACCAGATTATTTCCCAAATTGTCTGTCTCATGTACTACTGTCAGGATGTAGTGAAAGTTTCAGCAAATATGTAAAAAAAATATTTGATGATGATGGGTGTCACTTTTTAGTGATGCCGCCGTGTTCCCAGATCTTACACAGGTGAATACAGTGTTATCATGAATGATGATGAATGACCAGAGCTACAAAAACAATAAAGCTGAAGCTGTAATGAACTGTAGTTTTCCTAACAAGATTTCTCAAAATTGTGAAATGGCTTCTGATAAAAATGGTTTACTCTATTGTTTCACAAAATAATTTTTAAAACAAGGTATTATTGGTTTGAAAATGTAAAGTATTGTGCACCTTGTGATATATTTTTTTACAAAGTTAACAATTAGGTGTCAAGCTCAACCAATGAACTGCATTGTGCCTTATCAAATCAAATCAAATCAAGTTTATTTGTATAGCCCTTTACAATAGCCGAAAGGTACCCAAAGTGCTTTACAACAGAGCCATGAAGCAGTACATAACACATATATAACATACACATTAACACTTTATGATTGGCTGTACGGATGTCGCACACATTAAATAATTCCAAAAACTCATGTGTAACAATGTGTGAGGGACCAAGCAGTTAGGCAAGAGGAGTCACAAGGGAATTTCAAAAAGAAGGGTTTTTATTTTGCCAAAAAAATAATTACAACAAAATAAAGCTAATGTTTGGGCCCTTTAAAAGAGGTCAAACAAACAGACTAAACTTAAGCTCTGAACATAACAAACTCAAAAATACAACTGACCTACCATAAGAGAAACAAAGGGGACTTATATACTGGCTGATCAGACCAGGTTTGACACACAGGGGGAGACTAACAACAACACTTGTACATAAACTACAAATAACAAAAAAAACAACCAAACCCTCATTCCAACAGAAATTTAATCTTAATTAACATTAACCGAATAAATATACTTAATATAATATTAATCAAAAGTCAAATATCTTGGGAGAAAATAAAACTACCCCCCCCAGACATAACAAATAGTGGTAGTGTCCAATTTGGCCACCTCCCCTATAAAGCTGCTCTTGTTCAAGGCCACCCCTTTTAGACTGGAGACTGCATGCATCCCTCTAGGGCAGTGGTTCTCAAACTTTTTCGGTCATTCCCCACTTTGGACAAGGGGGAATTTTCAAGCCCCTCCTGCCCCCATCGCCCCAACACAATGCTAATGAAATAACAACAAGCTTAAAATGTTCCAATTTATTGAAGTAACAAGTAGTATCAGTATAGTAACAAGTTGTATCTAAATACAAACTATCTACATCAAATAACAGCAAGTTCAAAAATAAAGAAAATAAAAGTGCAGCTGTGTCAAAATTTTTATCAAGTTCAAGGGGAATTCCTGTTACACTTGGTGTCGCCCCCGGGGATGATCGGTCTAATAAGTGGCAACACACAGCTATAAGGATGGTTTGCTCTCACACGCGCTGCACTTATAATCACACAAAGACACACACACACACACGCGCAGTCACTCTCTAGCCTAGTGCGCGGTCTTGCTCCACTTGCGTCAAGGAGCCGCTATCAATATGCAGGAGACTCCCAGAACTTCCGGGACAGTTGGGATGTCTGGATAAAGATATAAAGGCATAAAAAGGAAAATTTCCTCCCATTTGGCGCGCCCCACCTGTCATGTCTCTATTCCCCACCAGTGGGGCGCGCCCCACACTTTGAGAACCGCGGCTCTAGGGTGTGGAATCCGCAACACTGGTAAGCTCAAAAAGAAAACCGTTATAGCAAAAAAGACAATCCAAAAACTACTAAATAAAGTATATATGTAAAACAAACCAAGTGTCCTGTATGTTATTTAAAACTAAATAAATGTTTGCAATAAAATGTATGTGTCTGAAAAGGCATATAAACCAATCTTAAGGAAAACAAGCATGAACTAAGGAAAGTGTAAGTGTATGAGCTTACCACTTTTAAAATGGCTGTGTGGCCATGGCTGTGGCCATCACACAATGCATTATTTTATTTCTTTCAATTTAAAAATGAATTCAAGGTAACATTAATAACAAAACTTTGGCACATACTTTTGGACTAAGTTATCTGAAAACTGGAGTGTATGGTCCATATATGTCACACATGTATTTCAATTCAATTCAATTCAATTCAATTTTATTTGTATTGCGCCAATTCATAACAGAAGTTATCTCAGGACACTTTTCAAATAGAGCAGGTCTAGACCGAACTCCTTATAACATTATTTACAGAGACCCAACAGTACCACCATGAGCAAGACCTTGGTGACAAGGGCAAGGAAAAACTGCCTGTTAAAAGGCAGAAACCTAGGACAGACCCTTCGGCTCTAGGTGGGTGGTCGTCTGCCTCGACCAGTTGGGGTGAGAGAGAGAGATAGAGAGAGAGAGAGAGAGAGAGAGAGAGAGAGAGAGAGACGCACAGCAATGCATATGCTTATAGATATGATGTACATATAAGTCATATATTTATAAAATATGCCTTATCAGACTGCATCCAGAATAAGATACAATAAATATAAAAGTCTTAATCAAAAAAAATTTGAATTAAATTTATATTTTGTTTCGGTACTTTTTCAACTAGGCTGCACAAATAGGGCATTGACTTAGCGGGGTGGTATTTAGTTTATGTCTTCGCTTTTCAGTCCTTCCCAATTTATGCTTTTCCAATATTTTTTAAGTACTCTAGGCAAAAATAACTCTTGAATATATAGTAGCCATGCCAGTTTTTCCATCACAAAAATCTAGCCTAACTTTGGAGCCTTATTTACTCCCTTCCCAACATGCTTGTGTGGCATGTGTGGAGTGGAAGAGGTTAGGATAATGGGGTGGCCAGTCAGATTTCAGGCCCCCCCTCTGGACACGGCCCTGGAAATAGGAAAAGAGTGAGCCATCTCGCTTTCTTTGCATCTCTGTTGATAGTTGCACGTGTAGTACCGGTACCAGTGCTTCTACACATGAACAGTGTAACATACGGAAGATAACCAAGTTTTACTTAGTCACTTGGCTTTAAAAACGACATAAAGGCAGGATATGCAGGGTAGCCATCATACATACATGAATCCATGGTTAAAAGCAAGTGGCTTACCAACTAGCCACAGATATGGCTTGGCATGCATATTCTTCTTATTCTACATGCATGTGTGCTCATAGTTGATGTGTGTGTGCAGGGAGCAGCTCTGGAGCAGGCCATCATCAGCCAGAGGCCTCAGCTGGAGAAGCTCATTGCCACCACCGCACATGAAAAAATGCCCTGGTTCCATGGAACAATAACACGAGAAGACTCTGAAACCAGGCTTCAAAATGGTGCCCGTACAAATGGAAAATTCCTGTAAGTATTTTACAAGTTGCTCTGTATAGCTTGAATATATGAATGAATGAATTGTAACAAATGCATCCATATTTGACCAATAATTTAATTATTTGCCAGGATATGGCAAATGTCCCCAGAGCTCACAATATCTTATACTCATTCCCATTTTTCACATTGAATAATCAAATTCAGAGCCACTGTACAGGTCAGGACCAGCCTACTTCCTTGCAAATGTTTATTTTTAAGAAACCTTCCTCTTGAAGTCATCATCTCAGGCAGGTTTTCCAAGCTGTCAAAGTCCCCCAATAATTTTCACCAATTCAAATCAGCAAACCATTTTAAACCTTTCACCTCAACTGAACATAGAAGAAAACATCTGGTTAATTTTTATGTGAAATTAGGACATACATACACAGCCTTCTTAAGATCTATTATTTTCTATGTATAACCCCCACACCAGCAGTGGCTACAGGCAGCCCGCAGTGCTACCTTTTTGTGATCCAAATTATATTCTGATATCACAAACATTGCTAAAATATTAAAGAAATAAAGATATCTACAAATGTAACTCAACCAACTGTAATATCCTTTTATTAGCTGTTGCTGGCTACTCTTGGAGGCCAGAGCCTAAAGCTTGCAGGTGGGTACAGAGTGTATGGAATTATCTCATAAAAATGAATTAAACACATCACTGCACCTGAAATGACATTACCTGGCAATTCATAACACTGGGGACTGTCTTCTTAGGTGAGTGTGTCCACATACGATTTCAAGCTGATGTCTTATGGTAGACATTTTATATAGTACGATCAGTTTTAGTATGAAAATGTTTGGCCTTCACAGTTGAAAATGTGAAAATGAGGACTATGCTACCTGCAGCTGTAAATGTGTACCAGCATTGTGTAAAAAAAGGGAGGATTATTTGTCATCAATGCAGATCTGCTGTTACCACAAGCCTGGTGACCAGCTCCAGGAGATTGACGTGCCGCGGCGCTTCCTGTCTGTGCTTGGGGCGGTGCTTGATGCACACCATATGCTGTGTGTGCGCCAGTGTGTTTTAGCCTTTACAGTGGTTCTACTCAAAACTAGTGGAAACGCAGGCTGGTTTGCCAGATAGCACCAAGAATTTTGAACAGCACTGGTTTAAGAACCAGAACTAGTTTGGTGGAATAACGCTAACTATAAACTGCTTCCACACACTAGTGAGTTAATATTTGTGCTCTAATTATAATTGAGAGACTATATGAGATCAACAAATCAACAATAATGCAATATTGCTTTACATTGTATTTATATGAATATATCAAATGTTTAAAATATGTCTCTGCTTTTTGAACAAAGTGAGTGTATTTATAGCAGCTGAAGCTTCAGTTGAGACGCAGTGGCCTCGGCTGAAGAAACACACACACGCACGCATGCACACACACATACACACACTGCGGTTTCCGTTCTGGCAGTTTGCAAAGGACTTCCTGAAGTAGCCAAACAAGATGAAGAATGACAGCAGGGCGAGATGTGACTCTTCTGTCCCTTTTCTTATGAAGCGTCTAGGAGGAAACATTGTGTTTCCACTAAAATGCAGCCTTGTCTTATGATTATAGCTTTAAATTCATTTTTATGAGAATATTCCACACACTCTGTAACCACCTGCAAGGTTTAGTCTCTGGCCTCAGAGAGCAGCCAGCAACAGCTAAAAAAATGCTATTACAGTTGGTTGTGCTAGATTTGTAGGTATCTTTATTTTTATAATATCTGCATTTTGTAAGTCAGTATAATTTAAAACGCAAAAAGGATCAGTGTAGGTCAGGCCAGCTATTTAAGTTCCTGTTTTGGTTCTGTAACTGGGTTTTATAACTTGACCGTGCTAGTTCTTTCTCAGACCCTAATGTCTGAAAATAGTTATTGAACAACAGGATACAGCAGATCTATACTGCATGGTAAAGGGTGGCTTTGAATTAACTATAACATTTTTCCCTGGTGGCAAATGCCACAAATTAAAATAGAGTAAGATGATATTTGAATAGCTTTCAATGTCCTCACAGGGGAATATGAAAATTTTTCAAGATAGAAGATAAAAATATTAAGATTAAAACAACAAAAAATATGATAAGAGCTGGCATAAAAACAAGCTAATTAATAGTAATTATAATAAGTAATTAATATTTTTGGTACTCCCCACAAAATTGGTACACTTACAACTACTAAAATCCAGTTTTGTTTCTTAAAATCAAAGTAATGGAAGATTTCCAGCTGCTGAATGTAAACAATTCCACCTTCCAAACTAATTTCCTCCACAATTACAAAAATTAAGCTGAGGATGTGATTGGATTGTTGGCTTTCAGATCAATAGGGGTGACAACAAAACTTTAATTTATTACTGAAATGTATTAGTAATGAGTTACACTACTAGTTACTGGGGAAAGCAATATTATTTCTGTAATATTATTACTAGTAATTGGTTACCGCCTAACGCTGGTCTTCTGTGATTATTTATCAATTTTTTCCATGTTGAAAACCATTCTTGTTGTTAGCATGGTTGTTAGCCTTCCACTGTAGTTAAGACAAATATAATGTTAAATAAGACTGGTAAATATATTTCACTTTGGTAAAAACATCATCATCATCATTTTTAAAACAAGCCATATTTTAAAGACATAATCAATAATGTAATCCAAGTAATACTTGACAATGTAACTATAATCTAATAAAACATTTTTTCAAATGTAATCTGGGCTGAATATAGTTCATAGATTATAAATTAGATCAACACAAGATAGAGCAGAACAGATCTGGCTTATAAAATCACATGTACTTATATTAGGGCCCCATTATATGGTAAAACCATCATATTGTGATTATTTTGACAGATAATACGAGATGATCACAATTAGTGGGAATGATAATTTTTGCATCACAAATTTACACTGAAAAAAATATTAAAATCATGTGTAATTTGTTAGGGTCTGTACTAAACAAGTTTTCTTACATCTGGAGAACAAGATTTGAAGGTCAGCTTATCTCTACAGCACTACAGTACTTCATATTTATGACGCTGTCTGTCACATCTGACCTTTATTAAACAAACTTCAGCTTCTGCAATTTGCATATTGCACTTGCCCATATTGCAATTCAAATAATATTTCAATTATTTATGCAGTTCTAATTAATATAACATGTTCCATTGGAAAAAATATGTCACGTGTGCTGTTTTTGTAAGAGTATTATATTACTTTGAATCATATTTTTCTCTATATCCATTTATGTCTGGTTTATCATTTTCATCTATATTTTAAGTTGTGGTCTATCCTGCCTTCTTGTTATAAGCAAAGTTATAACAAATAAGAACGTGAGAAAGAGCCGTTATTGAGAGCCGTCACTTCAAAGGTTAAAATATTAAAAGAAGGTTCATAAAGCAGAAGTCTCTAATAATAAACCATGAGAATCGATAAGCAGCGCAGAGGGAAGTCATGCAGAAGACAAGATATAAGTAATGTTCTTCAAAGAGACACTCACTGCATGTCTCCCCTGCAGACTCTTCAAGCCAAGCAAAGCTTTCTTGTAACCTCAGTCTACTTCCTGAATGTTTTTTTCTTGATCTTTCTTCTGGTACGATTTTGATGAATGGCTATGTTCTCTTTATAATATATTGTTCACTCTACAGTATATTATTGAGGCATTTGTTGCCTTGGAGAGAGGGTTACTTTAAATAGGTAATTCAATAAAATTGTTCTAATTACCTGTTGAATAATGTAGTCTGTAATCTAATCCAAGTTACCAAAAAATTAAAATAACCTAACTTGATCACTTTCTGTTACTTTTGAATTTCCTCAACACCAAATAAAGACAAGAGAAAAAAAATTAATAACATGACTTTTACATATTCTATAAGACAACAGGACAATGTAACCTTAAAAAAGGGTTTTAAGCATCAAGAGTATGGCCTTTTACAGAGCGTTCTCAGAACTGGAAGGTGGAACTTGCCTTGTACTGTGATGTTGTTCCTCTTTACTGCTGTAAAGACAGAATAATGATGACATTTCCACCCACTGAGAAGAGTTTCTGAGACCAGAGTGCTATTCTTCTTTATTTTTAAATGTATTTTAAAATGGTAATCCTGCTGTAACTGTGCTCTGACTACTTCCTTTGGTAATTGTAATAGATTAGAGTTACCTTTTTGCATCCTGAATACCTAACTCTGTTAGATGTAATCTGTTACTCTCTAAATCCACTGTTAGCACACTCACTACACTGTACATCCTAACAACACATCTTAATAAAAGATGTAAACCTAACTCAAAAATTAATTGTTGAAGTAATAACTCTTTTACATTTTGGTGATTTAATTTCAGTTTGTTCCATTGACTTATTTTCTTTAAGCTGACTTTATATTACTCCAAAATGTAAGCCCCAAAGGCCCAAAATTAATTGGCTACCATTTTGATAATTGATTAACTATAAAAAGTGGCAACAGTTATATAAAGATGCATTAAGGGTAGTCTTTCTTTATTAAGATAAATAACACATTTTTAAAAAGTTAAAGTTCTAAATGGTTAAATGGCACTAAATGGTTTCATGCTTAAATTGATGGAAGTAATACATTTAAACGGTTTAAGGCAATCAAACTAACTCATCGCTGTAACTCAGTGGATATGGTAATAGTGTTGAAATCTTGGGCTTGCAATAGTTCAGTAAAAACTGTGAATTAGAGTTGGTGTCAAGCATAACTCTTGACATTCAAGGATTTTATGGTGATCTTGATCTTGGACCAGGGTGGCTCCTATCCAGGTCTCTAGCTGGGTGGATTATCTCAAAGTCCACTGCTCTTCAACCAAACCCACGCTTCCTTTTCCGATTACTGTAGGCTATTTCTGTCATAAAAAATAGCCTACAGCAATAAAGCTAAAAAACATTAAAACTTAAACAAAGAAGTTTGAAAGAGTTAGCCTACCGGCTGCAGCATCTGAGTGCACAGCCATTGCCATAGTCAAAATCTCCAGTCGATTTGAACAATTTTGACTTGGCCCTTCATGATGGGAATCAGACATCATTCAATGATGTTTCCGGCAATAGGATAAAAAAACACCAAAAACTTATACAGATTAAAACAAAAATGTAGCAAGTTTGAAGGAACTACTGGCCACTATATCTACATATGCACCCTTTGGTACTGGTATCAATAAAATCTTCCTATCCCTAAGCCCTTATTAACCTTTCTTTTATGGGGTGTCTGGTTAAATTGTCTATAGAAGGTTATCCTTGTGACACCTGTTGACAGTGTGGTCTGTGGATTATCCAGAGCAGCAGCATCTTCTTAGTACTCTGAGCCACCAGTTTATTGGAGTGGAGGCAGAAATCTCATTAACAGGATGACACCACATACCGCTACAGGAAAGTGAGAAAATATATATTTTAGTAATTTTGGCGAGACAACCAAGTTTCCACAGGACATACAACTGTTCACAATGCAAACGCTATGAGATGTATGAGAGGACCTTTTCTTGACCTACCATGACATTAACAGTTAAATTACCAGACTCACAGTGTGCATTTCTGAATATAGTGAATAGTTTCACAAATCTATGTTTGTCACCTCACAAGATACACAATGAATAGTCCAGAGAAGTGATTTCCCCATTCTGTGCGGGGTCTTACAAAAGTAATCCAACATCTGAATTTTAGGCCTGTCAGGCTATCGTGAAAGTTTCAAAAAATATGACAAAAATGTATTTACGTAGTTACTTACTGCAGCTTTGAAATGTTTTATGGTGATTTTAAACAATTTAGACAGGTCTTAAAAATTTATTTGCTTGTGTAAAGTTGCATTTTCCAGTATTTATCATCTTTATCAACTACAAAACAACACTAAAATGGAACCAATACTGATTTTCTTTCAGATCCTTTGTACTTTTTTGCTAGTATGAAAGTACAATAGGTCCTAACTGCATTCATAATGGTCTTAAAAAGTCTTGAAATTGAACCTACAAACCTGCAGAAACCCTGCATACTGGCAATTCAAATGAATCAACGACAGAGAAATGTCTTTGTTGTCTCCTCTACTATCATCTACTATTGTTTCTTCTCTTTATTTTTGCTCCTTGTGTGTGCAGGATCCGGCAGAGAGATATGAATGGATCCTATGCTCTGTGTTTACTACATGAAGGCCAAGTCATGCATTATCGCATCGACAGGGACAGGACCTGCAAGCTCTCTATCCCAGATGGCAAAAAGTTTGACACCCTGTGGCAGGTTAACAAAATTATTTTGAAATCATATTTCTCATTATAAACTATGACTCTCAGGATTAGATGTATGGTTTCCCAGCACATGTCTGTCTGCCTGACTGTCTGTCTGTTATGGTGTATTTTATGGCTGTTATAGTTACATACACATCCCTTATAGACATTGCCATGGGTGTGGCCAGAAGTTTTAAAATAAGAGTTCAGAATTCCTCACCTCCCACCCTCCTGAGAATTTTTTTGACTGGACAGAAAAAGATTTTGCACTTTAATACTTGTGTGGTAATTGATGCATGTATATATGTATATAAGCGCTGATCATTGTGATGAGTGTCTGATGTGTGATCTCTCTGCTTCAGCTGGTGGAGCACTACTCATATAAACCAGACGGCCTGCTGCGAGTGCTAACAGATCCCTGTCCAAGACCTGATGGAGTCATTGGTAAAAGTGCACGCAACTAATAGAAACATGCCTACAAAAAGACTCAGGCCAGCCCACAGATATAGCTGGGTCCCTGAAAAGGTCCAGTGAATGGGCCCTCCCCAAACCTGCTTTACTCATATCCACGAATGCTAGTGCTCTCTCTTTTTCTATATCAACACATACATGTAAACTGAAATAGACTTCCTCAGTGACGGGGGCTTAATACACATACACTAGTGAATTTTTTCATGTCAACTTCCTTTGAATCTTAGCCTTGCCTACTGTTTTTTACAACTAAAATATGGTGAGAAATCAATGGTGTCAATATATCTAGGAAACCATCGCTCTCTGTATATCCTCAGTCTCTAGTTTGTGCTTATAGAAATTCATGCGGCTGTGGTTATCCTACAGCTCATTTTATTGAGAAAATACTCTCACGACACTGAAATGGCTACTATGGGGACAAACGTCATCACACATGAAATAAACTGGGCTCACTGAAACAGCAAGAGTCGCAGCTTTGCAGTCATTCCTACTTTCTACATTTGTAAAAGGGGACACATGTGTACCTATAGAACCCATTTTTATTCTGATATCTTGAGGTCAGAGGTCAAGGGACCACCTTCCATGACAATTTAGCCTAACTTTTGAGCATTATTTATCCTCCTTCCCGACAAGCTAGCATGACATGATTGATACCAATGGAAGCGTTAGGTCTTCTAGTTTCATATGATACCAGTCTCTATAAAGACTCGTTGCTCCCCTGATGCTAACTACCTCTTGGCTATTAATGTGAGCTGTAACGTTAGCCTACTTCAGCCTTGCTTAGATCAATTTATCTATTCTGAATAAAAAAATATGTCAACTTCATTGTTATTTGGGTCTAGACAGCTCCCTCGTTTTCTTCTGGAATCCCAAAGTATGTGCAGGTCCTGGCATAGCAGGGAAATTCACTCCAACATAAGCTATTAGTCATTTTAAATCAGTAAATTTCTCAGGTCATGTGGCTGGCCCCCCACAGTACACTTATGACATTTTGATGTACAAAAGAAAAAAAAGAAAAGAATCATAGCTACATACATACTAGACGAATCTGTACAATGTTTATTTGTGTTGGTTTACTAAGTAATGGTAAACATTTAATATTCAATTTATAAAATTTGATTATCACTGCTTTTATATATAGGATGAATATGATTATTGCTGGCCGCTGGGCCCCCCTAACTAAAAGTGTGGCAACATATTCTGATCCACATCTGTCTTATGCCCCGTTCACAGGGCAAATAGGAAGGCCACCACTGCCGCGGGACCACCCCGGATTAAGTTCTGCCCTTGTAAGTGATATGTGTGTTTGTATGTGTGTGGTGTTATTATACATTTACATATTTTAATGGCCTATGTCCAAAAAACAAAAAAAACAGGATGTAAATCATCCCCACCCCACCTCACAGGATTAGAGAAAGGAAATGAGGATACTGCTTGAATGTCTGCCACCCCTTATTCATAATCTTAATTTTTAGATATTGTGTTAATCACTTTGCGTCAGAAATGGCTTTAAATTATATATTTAGTTGTTATTCTATGTTTAGGTTATGTTCTCGATAAATTAATGACATTTTTATGGTTAGATCCAAATGTGTCTATTTACCTTCACTCATGTGGACTGTTTGCTCTGGTATCTTTTGATACAGGCTATTTGTGTGCACAAAAAATGTACACGCAAATTACTCATTGTAGTCTTGTGGAATTACTTTATTTGACCTCTTTGACCTCGTTGTCCAGAGTCTGATAACTATCACTAGTTAATTTTCACTACGTTTGAACACACAGTAGTAGGCTATTATGCAGCAGCAATAGCAGACTAATTAGTGAGTAATTTCAGCACCCACACTATTAGTTAAAGAGCATTATTGAAGTTATTCAAGAGAGCAAATTAGTTATTTGTGTTTGTTATTAATGTAAACAAATTAGTTTTATTTTAAAAGAAACCATAATGGAGATAAATGGAATTTTTTGTTGTGCTCAAAGAACTGAGTTCAGCAGCAACATCTTTTTTCAAATGCTGAGGATCTGCACAGAGCAGTTTCCAGTGGAACTACTTTCTTCCAAAGAAATAGTATGAAAACTGTTGGCAATGAGTTCTGTGGATTAACTGGGACCAGGTTCCTGAGAAGAGATATGCTGTTGAATTTTGTATGTATTTTTGTAATACTGTGAGTACCACGGGATTATTCACCTCCACTGAATTGGGATGGAGGCAGAAATAGATATATACTAGAGTAGATAGAAAGTAGTAAGAAAATATGTTTTTCATAGTTTGGGAGAAGCAACCCTTTTGTTTGTGTCTTCCTCCTGACATACTGTACAGTAAAACAAATGTTGTATACTGTATGAAAAAAGTGTGTCTTTGCTTCCTGTAGTTTGCAGTTGAATGAGTCAGTAAGATGACTCAGTGTATGCTCTAAGAGATAAACTAAACATCTTTGTTTGGAGCTAACCTTTCCCCGGAATCTTTTTTATTCTGTGATGATCACATGCATGACTATAAAATCACCAGGTCACCGACTGATAACCTCTAACATTTTGATTTCCAGCAAAATGCGGCAGGTGGACTTCTCTTCAAAATCATGTCTGGCATCAAAAAGGTGCACTACCACTCCTCCTGCCTCCTCAAAAACCTGTTGTTCACAGTTGTGTGCAACTGCAACCCCCCCCACTGCAGCCCTTTTAACTCTTCCCTGTGTGTGATTTTGCTTCAGTGTGGATTGCTTTGTACTAAAACACCCCTTCCTTGCACTCTCGGCCCTTTGCTTTATCACATCCATTCTCCATCTCTCTAACAGACCCCAGATCAGAGCAGATAGTTTGACAACTAGAGCTGCTTGATCACACATGCTTGATCACAATCTAACACCATCCAGAGGGCACTCACTGCAATTACATTCTGAACCACAGCCAGCGGCTTTATGCTGTGTCCCATTCAGTAGCTCCCCCTTCTATGTGTGCATGTCAGCACCATGTCACAATGCATCAACACATCTGTCCTTTTCTTTTGACTAAATTTGGAAGACACAACTAGTGCATGATTTTACTCATGACTCATGTATCCCAATATATAATTTGTGTTTACACAGAGACGCAGTTATGCAGGCATTTAGGTGTACCTCACTAGCACTGCTGTACACAAGGTTTATGTGGGTTAATTAGATACTGTCCAAATTCTAGCCAGGGTTTTGGGGTATCAAAGCATCAATGTAGTTATTTTTAGTACCATACTAGTGATCTCAGTGGTGGGTACGGCCATGCTCAGGATGTCAATACCGACCCATTTCAGACACTGGGAAAAACGTAAAATTTTCCCAAACTACATTCATTCACTTCCATTTACCGTGCCTCTCCTGAAACTGTTTGGAGCCCTGCAGGGGGTCCTACTTCCCACTTTGAAAACTTCTGCTCTACATCCTTTGTATGGACAATCATTTATTGGAAACCATGTATTACAGTGATACTGACTGCTGGCTGAAAGACTGCTGATGATTTAAAAAACAAATGTACTAACCTTTTGCTGATGGGTAGACTTCACATTTTCCCATCAAATTCTAATGTTTGAAAGAATCCATCTTTATTGAGCCTAAACATTTTGAGGGAGGTCTATCACTGTGATACCGGTTCCATATAAAGAGTACTACATAAGAGTAATAAATTAAGTTACTCATTGCAGCGCACTCACTGATCTACTGTTCTTTCTGATTAATTGATAGCCCCACGTACAGCAACCCAACATCGCAGAAAATCTCAATCCTTATGAAACCAGAGTGCCCAATAATCTAGTAGGTGGCAAAGGTAAGTTTAGAATGAAGACATGTGAGTACACCTTGTATTCAACAGGAAGTATACTGTTGTTAAATTGCTATTGCTAGTGTACATATACATACTCTCTTACCTAAACAACCTTCCTCTAATGTGACCATCAGAGGCCATGCCAATGGACACAGAGGTATATGAGAGTCCGTACGCAGACCCAGATGAACTGAGGAGTTCCACAGTGGATCGCAAGCAGCTCTTCTTGGAGGATGGAGAACTGGGCTCTGGCAACTTTGGCACAGTCATGAAGGGCATCTACAAGATGAGGAAGTATGTTAAATCCCATCGTATTACATTTGCATACAAATAACACCACTCCTCTACTTTAAGCAACAAGTATGTCATGATGCCATCATTATGAACTATCAGTCATCTGCAGACTTTACCCACTTGAAATATCTCCCTTCTTAAACTTCCTACCCAAATAATCCATTGGCATCATGGTTGTGGCCATGTTGGAAATGCAAATCATCCATAGAGTACACTACAAGGGAAAAGGGATTTTTAACATGGGTTTTTTAGATTCTGACGTTTGTCTATACTGCACAAAAAACTCAACAGACTACATGCATGCCGCATGGGACTGCACACCAATTAAACAAATCTGGCGGTAAATCACTGACAAAAACAAAGGTAGACTGCTACGCCTCTATGGACAGATTCTCTCCCCAGCGGTCAGAGAGTGGTCCAAGAGAGAAAGAAGCACAAGAACTGCATTGGGCAAGTGTCCTCCCCTGGGTCTGGGCACAGCTCAATACATGGTCTCTTTTAAAACCGAAACAGAAACCTTTTCTTTTTTTTGTTTTTATGTATATGTGTGGGGAGTCAAACCCTGCTTGTCTCTGTTGCTGGAGGGCTAAGTGATGAGGGGCCTCTTATTTATATATATATATATATATATATATATATATATATATATATATAAAATGTTATTAATTATTATTATTATTGGCATTATAATTTATTATATTATAATATATAATATTTATACGCTTTTTCACTTTCCTTTTCACTTATAATTATGTTATTCCTCTTCTCCACAGATACACATGCCCATGTTACGCCCACCCTTACTGTTCACAATGTTGTAACTGTTTCATGTTTTGTCTTGTTATATGTTGCTTGTATGTGTATTCAGTTTAATGTCGCACAGTAATCACTTGTCACCAGTGTATAATGTATATTAAAAAAAGGAAACTGTTTACTGAGCTCATAAATTAACTGAGAAGTAGACTTATTTATCTATGCCCACGGCGATGGAGTGCACTGCTCCCTGTAGGTCATTGGAAAGAATACAGGTTTACGACCCTTCCACATTGGCTTAACTAAGTCTTCTCAACTCTTACTCAACTCCTCATTCCTCACTTTCTTTCAGTAGTTTTACTTCAATGAAAAGATTTTGTACATATTTTGAGTGAAAGACCAAGAGGATTAAAATAACTCCAGACTCCTCCTTCTTTATCTAGAGAGCTGATTTATCTTCCTGTTACATCTGTCATACCTCTCACTATCTACTCCACAATGTGAATCCACTTAAACAACCTTTATCTTACTTGTACACTCTGTATTTACGTACTGAAGTTTGTGTACCAACCTTATTTCACCCGAAACCCTGTTACTGATTATATGTTGTAAAGTCAATATAAATGAGGTGACACAGTCATCCTAACACAGCCCTCCCTGTGTATCAGGACAGAGAAGCCAGTTGCAGTCAAAATCCTGAAGAATGACGATAACAACCCATCAGTGCGTGAGGAAATGCTGCGAGAAGCCAATGTCATGCAGCAGCTGGACAATCCTTACATTGTCCGGATGATTGGGATCTGTGAGGCAGAGAACCTCATGCTGGTCATGGAGCTGGCCGAGCTGGGACCACTCAACAAGTTCCTGCAGAAGAACAAGTATGTACTCCACCTGGATCCTAGTCTTTGTCTGGAACGGTAGCTTATTTCACATTCATTTCTATAGTGACATCCTGATACACACCAAGGTTATTTTTAACAAAATTTCAACTAAAACTTGGTGTGTAATAACACTTTAGTTAACTGAAATAAAAGTAAAAACCAGACTTCAGAAAACATTTTGCAACAATATTGTGTACTAACGAAAACAAAATAAACAGGAAATGTTATATTATATGTCATTGTCAATTTGGTCAAATTTTGTTATAGCTTTTGTGTTTTTCGCCCGTTCTCATTCCCATGTCATCAAATACACACGTGAGTGGTGTTCAGTTAGTTACAATCTGCAACTTCACCACTAGATGCCAATAAATCTTACACACTGGACCTTAAGAGTCCAGTATAATTTCCACATAAAAGTCCCTAAGAAGTCATCTACTCCTGGTACCTCATTAAATATTTCAGAAGGAATATCTGTCTATATCTATCTAAAATCAAATATGCAAATGTTGTTCATTTCTAAAGTTTTCCTGCTGGACACAAGATGTCTCCTACTTCACTGTAAAGTCCATTCTGAGTGTCTTCAAGTTCTACATAACCATTTTAGAAGTTGCATACTGGACCACGATTGACTTTTAATGTTATATTTTGCTATTTTACATTAGTTCGGTTTGAAATGGTGACTTTCATTGATGAAACAACAATTTATCATCTACAGGCAAACAGGCATAAAGAACATCACAGAGCTGGTCCACCAGGTGTCCATGGGGATGAAGTACCTGGAGGAGCATAACTTTGTCCACAGGGACCTCGCTGCCAGGAATGTGCTGCTGGTCACGCAGCACTATGCCAAGATCAGCGACTTCGGACTCTCCAAAGCTGTTGCTGAGGAGCAAAACTACTACAAGGTAACTGCTGACAGACACATCACAAACACTGGTGGATACAGCTTCTTTGTGGCAGATCAAGCATGAAGTCCATCCAGGCCCATAGCACATGGGTGCAAACCCCATACAGCTAGACAGCAGTGTTGTAAACATACTGATGATAAATGGTAAATGGACCTGTACTTGTATAGCACCTTTCTAGTCTTCCGACCACTCAAAGCGCTTTTCCACTACTGCCACATCCACCCTTTCACACACATTCACACAGTGATGGCAAAGCCAATTGAACAGAAACCAACTCATTCATACACATTCACACACAGCATCGGGAGCAGTTTGGGGTTCAGTATCTTGCTCAAGGATACTTCGACATGTGGCAGGAAGAGCTGGGGACTGAACCAACAACCTTCTGATTAGGGGACGACCCGCTCTGCCATCAGTGTCAAATGCAGATTCCAGTGTTCTGGTTGCACAATATACGGCTTTTCTTACAGTATCACAATATATCGTAATAAAGTTAGTTAAACCGTAACCCCAAATCGTGATACGTATCGTATCTCCACTCTCTTGCCAATACACAGTAGTCACGATAACCAGTTGTTAATAATCAGTACATGGAGCTCATCTATCAACTTGCTGTTATCCAATGTTACCTCTTGTTCTCTCTTTCGCAAAACATGTTCATCATGACTGCTGGCATGTAAACAACAAGGGTGGAACGATAAAGTGTGCCTCACACTGCTGATTCTTCATTTTGTAGGAAAAAGTGAATATTTGTTTATTCTAAGTATAATTTTCTCCTATAAAATATTTATTTCTTATGTTGAAACTAACCAGAGGATGTATCTTGCCTCTGTAGACAATCTGACACAGATTCATTTTGTATTAACTTTAATTTAACCTATATTTCATATATATATTTTGTTTGCTTTTGTTTTCTCTTTCTTATATGGTGCCTTGATTTATTGTTAGGTATGCTAAACATCCATTGATGATGAACATTCTTTTTATCTCAAATTTCCATGAATATATTGTAACATACAGGAGTCATCCAGCAGTTGATCATATTCAGTCAGAATACTGACAAAACTGACAGAACCCCCACAGTGCAATGAGCCGACTGAAATCTGAGGCTACAGAATGACCAACGTAACATAAAATCACACTCGCTAATGTTTTGTGTGTGTCTCCTCCCCCAGGCCAAGGGTCATGGGAAGTGGCCAGTGAAATGGTACGCTCCTGAGTGTATAAACTACTTCAAATTCTCATCCAAAAGTGATGTGTGGAGCTTTGGGGTACTCATGTGGGAGGCCTTCTCCTTTGGCCAGAAACCATACAAGGTTTGAATAAATATATTTTTTGTTGTTGTCTATTTATACATTTTAATCCATTTTGTTACTTTGTATATCCCTTTCCTATGAGGAGTTTTCATCTTTTCCTAATCCTGCCTCCAATTCAATTCAATTCAATTCAATTTTATTTGTATAGCGCCAATTCATAACAGAAGTTATCTCAGGACACTTTTCAAATAGAGCAGGTCTAGACCGAGCTCTTTAAAACATTATTTACAGAGACCCAACAGTACCACCATGAGCTAGCACTTGGCGACAAGGGCAAGGAAAAACTGCCTGTTAAAAGGCAGAAACCTAGGACAGATCCTTCGGCTCTAGGTGGGTGGTCGTCTGTCTCGACCAGTTGGGGTGGAGAGAGAGAGAGAGAGAGAGAGAGAGAGAGAGAGAGAGAGAGAGAGAGAGAGAGATGCAGAGAGAGAGAGAGCGAGAGACAGACAGACAGGTGCACAGCAACAACAGTATTAGCAATGGCAATCTAGCAGGACCATGGCAGGAGGCTCCACCAGGATCGATAAGAACCTGCGAGACGAGAAAGCACAAGAACTCCGGGGAAGAAGTGAAGTTAGTAACATGCATTAATAGGACATGAATGAGTGCAGAAAGAGAGAGGAAGGGAGGAGCTCAGTGCACCATGGGAAATCCCCCGATAGTCTAGGCCTATAGCAGCATAACTAAGGGATGGTTCAGGACTCACCTGATCCAGCCCTAACTATAAGCTTTATCAAAGAGGAATGTCTTAAGCCTACTCTTGAATGTGGAGAGGGTGTCTGCCTCCCGAACCACAACTGGAAGCTGGTTCCACAGGAGAGGAGCTTGGTAACTGAACTCCTCCTAGTGCTCCTAATGGCATTTGCAAGAATCCACCGGTTGAACGAAAACAATCAGTCAGAGCCAAAAAAGATAGTTGATTGTTGAGTCTCATTTCCAGGTTATCAAATACAGACACGTTGGGACCCAGGGAATGAGACTCAACAATCAACTAACTATAAGCCTCCAACCCAAAGGGTCTTTCTATCTTTCTTGGCTCTGATGGTTGTTTTGTCAGGACCAGTGGATTCTTGCAAATACCATTAGTCTCAAGTACTACTGTCAGGATATAGTGAAAGTTTGAGCAAATATGAAAAAAGTAACTTTTATAAAAGTTACCTACTGCAGCTTTAAAGGTATAACTTAGACTAAAACATCTTTGTGGTTCACTTACAGTGTGACATTTTGTGCTACCGTGTACAACAAATTTAGACTGCTTTTGTTTGTTATGTTCTCTACAAATTGTATTGACCTACTAATTTGCATGACTGACAATCCTCTCAGGGTGCAACTTGAGTAAAATATTACAATATACAGTATGCAAAACAATTTTCTCTCACTGAGCAATGTCTGCCTGATGGTGTCACATTGAATCTGAACGTCTAATTGTTCACAGGGAATGAAAGGAAATGATGTCATGCAGATGATTGAAGGTGGAAGACGTATGGATGCCCCATTGAACTGTCCAGAAGAGATGTATGACCTCATGAGGACCTGCTGGACATACAAGTAAGTGACACATTGACTCTTATGAGAACACACTGTCTCAAAGCAGAAAGCAATAATAAGGGTGGTGTCTGTTAGGAAGCCTCATTATTGATAACTGCTGTCTGTTTTCATGTCTTCCAGGGCAGATGAAAGGCCTGGATTTAAGGTTGTTGAGCCAAGACTACGAGAGTATTATTACGACATTGCACAGTAATTCCTCACATGGATGTTTTGAGTCTATGCAAACTATAGAAAAACTGCATCTTATCCTGTATGAATGACTGGAGATGGTTATGCTGTTGTAAATTACTGAGTTCAACTCGAGGATTTATGTTAATTTTTAAACATTGACCATAATTATGCAAATGTAATTTTAAATTACTTATCTTGTTCCTTCCTGAATGTAAACAATATGAACATTGTAATAAACAGATTCAAGTCCAGCTTATTCTATTACAGACATGTTACAGATACATTCATTTGTTAGATGTGTTTCATACTGTAAGTGCATTATATGTATTCTGGCTTTACCCTTTGCTGTGTCATAATAGTTAAAGCAAAAATCCTTGAATGAAGATCTGATTTCAGTGTAATGGAGAGATAGGACTGTCTTCAGTCTCTGTAATCACATATAAATAAATTGCCATCAGTGTCCTGATATTTGAAACATGTAAGAGTGGAGTTACTGCAAACGAGGACTGAGGCATTGTTAGTTTGCTTGTGGGTGCCTATAGAATGTATTTTCATTCAGATATCTTGAGGTCAGAGGTCAAGGGATCCCTTTGAAAATGGCCATGCCAGTTTTTGCATCGCCAAAATTTAGCCTAACTTTAGAGGGATTTTTAGCCCCCTTCTCGACCCACTAGCATGACATGGTTGGTACTAATGAATGTGTCAGGTCATCTAGTTTCATGTGACAGCTAGTTTTATAAAGGAGCCCACTACAGCATTTGAAAGATGCAAAGATAATGGGGTGGGGCTTGGGGAGACCGGTGCACTCTGGAAAGGCCCCTAAGAACACCGCAATGGATTGTTTTCCCATAATATGTAAGAGTAAGTATTGACATCTTTGATGAGATTCTTTTTCAAAAGTATTCAAAAAGTTCTGTTGTCTATCACTTTATGGTGGCGTCTAAAGACAAAACACATACAAATGTAAAAGCACAAGCACTACACACACGTATTAAGACATATACTCTGCTTGGAACAATAATGTGTGTCTGGTATGTTTTTCAAACAAAAAAATATAATTTCCACATTAAAATCTTGAAGAATCTCTGAAAATGTTTTCCTGCTGGACACAAGATGTCCAACATTCACTGTAAAGTGTAAGACAAAATGCATCACACATTAAACCAAATGGCCCTATCTAGAGCCATTGTTTGGTTTGGTAAATTATTTAAAGAAATAAAAACAAGAGGAGTTGAACATAAAAACCTAATACAAATTAAAACCAACTCCTCAATAGCACAAAAAAAAGAGACTGAAATGTGGACTGTTAAATATCAGGTCTCTGTCCTCTAAAGCTGTTTTAGTGCATGGTGGGCGGCTGTGGCTCAGAGGCAGAGCAAGTCGTTCCCAAATCGGGAGGTTGTGGGTTTGATCCCCAGCTCCTGGTGCCACATGTCGAAGTATCCTTGAGCAAGATACTGAACCCCAAATTGCTCCCGATGCCATGCATCGGTGTGTGAATGTGTCTGTTTGATGGACTTTGCCATCACTGTGTGAAAGTGTAAAAGCGATTTGAGTGGTCGGAAGACTAGAAAGGCGCTATACAAGTACAGGTCCATTTACCATCTCTCCTGTACTTCTCTGCACTGGCTCCCTGTAAAATTTAGAATAGAATTTAAAATCCTCCTCCTCACCTATAAAGCTCTTCATGGTCAGGCCCCTTCATATCTTAAAGAGCTCATAGTACCCTATTACCCCTCTAGAACACTACGTTCTCTGAATGCTGGGCTACTTGTGGTTCCTATAGTCTCTAAAAGTAGAACAGGAGCCAGAGCCTTCAGTTACCAAGCTCCTCTCCTGTGGAACCAGCTTCCAGTTGTGGTTCGGGAGGCAGACACCATCTCCACATTCAAGAGTAGGCTTAAGACATTCCTCTTTGATAAAGCTTATAGTTAGGGCTGGATCAGGTGAGTCCTGAACCATCCCTTAGTTATGCTGCTATAGGCCTAGACTATCAGGGATTTCCCATGGTGCACTGAGCTCCTCTCTTCCTCTCTTTCTCTTTCTGCACTCATTCATGTCCCATTAATGCATGTTACTAACTTCACTTCTTCCCCGGAGTTCTTGTGCTTTCTCGTCTCGCAGGTTCTTGTCGATCCTGGTGGAGCCTCCTGCCATGGTCCTGCTAGACTGCCATTGCCAATACTGTTGTTGCTGTGCACCTGTCTGTCTGTCTGTCTGTCTGTCTGTCTGTTTGTCTGTCTGTCTGTCTGTCTGTCTCTCGCTCTCTCTCTCTCTGTCTCTCTCTCTCTCACCCCAACTGGTCGAGACAGACAACCACCCACCTAGAGCCGAAGGATCTGTCCTAGGTTTCTGCCTTTTAACAGGCAGTTTTTCCTTGCCCTTGTGCTTGCTCATGGTGGTACTGTTGGGTCTCTGTAATTAATGTTTTAAAGTGTTCGGTCTAGACCTGCTCTATTTGAAAAGCGTCCTGAGATAACTTCTGTTATGAATTGGCGCTATACAAATAAAATTGAATTGAATTGAATTGAATTGAATTAGATAACTTCTGTTATGAACTGGCGCTATACAAATAAAATTGAATAGAATTGAAATTGAATCGTAGAAGTTTTATTATCTCTGTAGATAAAAACAGCTCATTCTAAGGTAATGAAAACACAACAATTCCTATATTCAGGTGATTATACACTAATGAAAACATACCTATGAATATTATATTCCTTTTCTGGCAATAGATCCTCCTAAATGTTACACACTGGACCTTTAAGGAAAGTGTCCCAAATCAAAAAATGCAAAAAAGTAAAACCCACAGAAAAATTAAGAGAGAGTAAGAGAAATGTATTTCTCTTAATGTTGTTATTAAATCAGTGAAGTACCCTCTGAATATCCATTTACTTACCAGAAGTTAGACCATCTCAGTCTGTTGTTGTTCTTGTCAGTACTATTCTAGAGAACTGCAGCAGGATTCAGTCCAGAGTCCAGATGTATAAAGGGGAGGTCATTTGGATACAATCCTATTGAGCTTATTCTGAACAGTTTGATGAGTTGTGGAAAAATGCTGAACCAGCAGGTGGCAGCAGAATCAAAGTGATGTTAAACTAAAGCCACAGAAATAATTTTTAATGAGCGCTTTCAGTGCCATGATCTGTTTCTTAGTTTGATGTGGCATACCAAACAGAATGGTCACAGTTTTCCCAAACTGACGGAAAGCTTACTATAATATATTATATTCTGCTTAAAGAAATATATCACAACAGTAGGCAGCTTATAAGATATTAATGTATAACAAAAAGAATAATGTCCCAGGACACTCCTCTGGGGAGCCTCACAATTTGTGACTACAAAGTGTCCCATTACCATCCAGCTTTAAATAACTGCCTGTACACTGTAAATAAAAACAGTTGAGAACATTTAGAATTCTCATAACTTCACAAAAAATGTTTTAAGTTAAACTCGAAATGTAGAGTTTTGAAAAGACTTCCATTTCTTTCTTAGAAAAACTTAATTCTTTGAGTTTTGGAAACAAAACAATTCTTATTTAAAAAATGGTTCACAGTGAGCTGTGGACAGGGTTTTTCATTATCTGTGTGCTTGAAAATGGAATAGTTGCAATAAATATGATAAAAAATATAGCTTAAAAATATGAAATTATTAACCCTTTTTCACTTTTCTGGACAATTTTTGAAATACAGATCGTTTTCATGAATTATCATTAAGCTTAATTCAAAGCTTAAGAGTTTGAGTTTGACTTAGCACAAAAAAATTTGATGAAGACAGTTGCCTTGAAATTTTTTAAGGTATGGATAAGAAGAAGAAGAAGAAGAAGAAGAAGAAGAAGAAGAAGAAGAAGAAGAAGAAGAAGATTAATTGTATTAATCCCCAATGGGGAAGTTCTTGCCACGACATGTGTCTCCATTTGTGCCTTTGGCTTTGTGTCAGTGGCCAGTTATACAGTTATTACAGTGGTAAGGAGTGTTCAAAAGCCCCATTAACTTTTCTGGTGTGGGCCCCCATGATGGCAAGGAGGCCCCTGTAAAAAGCAGGGCTGATGGTGTAGAAATCCCCCATCTGGTACTGAGGTTTCCTCCCTTACTTGCTACTCACCAAAACCCATTGTGTGTATCCGTAAGGTGTAACAAGCATATCGAATGCATTTTCATCCTCATAAAACATTTGGAAAGTTGATATTTTAAAATATATTTTAAATCCAGTATTTACATCCATTATATTGCAGTCTTTTTTTTTCACTCTCTTTGTTGGTGTATTGCAGCATATTTTGGTGTGTAACTACCACCTGTTGATCAGTGGAGCAGTGACACCATGTCCGGTATGCATGTGCATCCATATACTGCTACTGGAGGTCAAAAACTCCACGGGGGAACCATTAAATAGCACTTTCAACCTTATAGACAATCTCCAGAATACTTACCACAGATTCAGCTTACGCCATTTCAGTATATTATAATAAATCTTTGGTTGTTTGAACTGTTCTAATGCAGGATGAGGCTGTTTCTCAGAGAGTGAAGTCTATATATCTTAAATAACAATTTTAATTTTAATTATAACAATTTAATTAAATTTCATTTAATTTCATTCAATGACAAAAAGCACCCGAGAAAGAGACGTAAACATTAGTTTGTTTTGAACTGGTTTGTTATGAGTCCTTATCTGAATCCCATTGAACTGTATTTTTGCTTAAGATGAGTGGGCCAAACTACCAGTGGAAGAGTTGTTCAGAGTTACAGAAAGCACTTGATTACAGTCGAGTTATAATCTGAGCTTTGTGGGAGTCGTTGGAGCCGAGATGGATAAATAATAGCGTATTGCTTGCTATCATATGAAAGTAAGTGTGCTATGTAGCGCTCCACCAATGGGAGGATGCATTGTTTTTTTTTAAGTTCTAAATCCAACACAAAGCAAGCAGTCAATACAGAATGTATGTATGTGTATGTAGGAGTTAATGTAACGTTAACTGAACAAATCTTTATTTCTTTGAAAAATGCATTATTTGTCATTAAAATAATGGTTGTGATAATGTACTAAAGACCCCCACAGATGTTTGATTTTACTGCTTCCATGGGAGCTCCGACCCCTTCTTATGGGAGCCAGTGGGAGCTGAGCATAACCCTGATTGAGTTATTGTCTCCAAAGGCTGTGCTACAGAATATATAGTTAACTGAACCAATATTTTTGGTTATACCATTTGAATTTGTTTTATTTTAAAAATATTTCTGTGATAACACCACATTATGTAATAACTCGACAAAATGTAATACATTTTCTCTTCATTATGTAAGAACACCTGCATTTTGTAATAATATGCCACACTTTGTAATAAACAGCCTGGACCCAATATGTAATACATTTCCTTGTGTTTTGTAATAAATTATTACTTATTGGGGAAAATCCAGGAGTTGCATTTTTTATGATGAAAATGTAATAATATGGTCCATGTAACCAAAATGGATGTCTTTATCTTTTTGGTAAATGGTCTGTAATGGATGTACTTGTATAGCACCTTTCTAGTCTTCCAACCACTCAAAGTCCTTTACATTACATTCACACAAGGCCATTAAATGGAAACAAATGCTCATTCATTCACATGCCAAAGACACCGCATCGGAAGCAATTTGAGGTTCAGTATCTTGCTAAAGGACACTTCGACATGTGGCAGGAGGAGCCAGGGATTGAACCAATAACCAAAAGCAATGTTTCCAAAATATTTAGTGGGAAATAAAGAATGAAGATACCATATACTACTTTCAGTTTCAACTTAAAGGTCCAGTGTGTAGGATTTAGTGGCATCTAGTTGCAGATTGCATCTCCCTGGCTTTACCCTCCCTCTCAAAGTGCAAAGGAGAAACTACATTCAAAAAAACATGATTGCTCCTATCTAAAGTGTTTGGTCCCACTGTTTTGTCCCTTCTGGGCTACTGTAACATGGTGGTTCAACATGATGGCCTCCATGGAAGGCAACTTCCATGGACCCTCTGTAGATAAAAACAGCTCATTCTAAGGTAACAAAAACACAATTCTTATTTCCAGGCAACTTTACACTAATGAAAACATACCTATGAATATTATATTCTATTCCTGCCAATAGATCCTCAGATAGATATTACACACTGGAACGTACACATAGAAAATGTGTTATTTTAACCAATATCTTCTGCCACGTCTGTACATAATGTTGAGATAACCTCTAGTGACATATAAAACCACCTGTTGCGAGACAGTTAAAATAATAACAGCCGCTTTGTGTGCCCCTGGAGGAGAAGCCGCATGTCCCAGACTGAGCCGACCTGCGATGATAAAAACTGTTCCAAAAAAACATAAAGTAAAAAAAACAAATTAAAAAAATGCTCTAAAGGATGCCGTTACAGTTAACACCTTCACCGTTTCCCATGAGAAGCGGCTAGGGTGCAGGCCTCCAGTATTGGGGAACCGGCCTTTCTTTACGCAACCTTGACTTGTGGTGGGATCCCCCCCGGCTTATTGCTGGGACATCTGCCGGAAGGAGGCCAGCCACAGTGGGGATGTGCAGCCTGATGTCAGGCTCTGTGCAGCAGCCGCATGAAGCCACAGGGCAGGCCTGCATGCAACCGCTGGCCAGGGCCTCAACAGTCTGTTCACAGGCGCGCACACACACCTTCTACTTATGATAACCCTGACCCTACACCCTACTGCATGTCTACCTTCAAACCTGATTATACCCTCAACACAGAGTGTGGAAAAACATGGTTCAACCTGTGTGAGGTCCCTGTAGGTACAATGGAGATTAGATATACCACTCAGTCATCTTTCAACCTATGTGCATTAGACTGATCAATGAATCTCTCTTTCATGACTAGCAGGGTCGCCTTTCTGGTCTACAGAAGAACACAATACATTATCTACAGTCAGTTCAAAGTTCTGCTGGATGAGTGATGACTAAGATCAAAAGCAGATCACACAATAGGCCTGTGTAAAAGTCCCTTGAATTTTTGCATTGATTTAAAATTATTTTACTAGTTCATAAGGCACTACATGGCCTTGCACCAGACTACCTAACTCAAAATTTGAGTTTTAATCAAACGCAAACTCTTAAATCTTGAATTAAACCAATCATAATTTACTTTTCTTTTTTAGAATAGCTTGAATCTTTTAGAAGCAAAAACAATCTGTATCTGTACATTTTTTCAGAAAAGTTAAAGTTTTATATTTTCAATTGCAACAATTTAATTTTCAAGCACCCAAATAATTAAAAATCAGGTCCATAGAAGGAAGGTAAATCATTTCAAAATCTAAAAGTTACAGTTACCTTAAAATTTTCTCTTTAAATACTGATATTTTTTAATGTGAACTAAAAACCCATCTATTCAGTCTGACTTTTATCTATTTTTTTTGTGATTTATCATTTTAACATTTATGCTTATTTTATTTATTAGCATATTAATTATTATATTTTTTGTATAACAATATTTTTTTCAGACATGTCAGTTTCAATACTTTTTAATTTTTCTATTGCTTTATTTAAAGCTTTTTGTTGTTGTTTTGGCATGCATTGGTCTCTAAATGCTTTTTAAACTGTATGTTTTGTCAATTGCTTGTAAAGCACCTGAATTACATTTTATGGGTTTTTACAGGTTCTATTTAAATAAAGCTTGATTAATTGATTGAAAAGGGGATCATAGCAGAAACTGAAAAGGTGCAGGGTAAGGCCAAAGATGTAACATATATGTCCATGTACTCATACATACTAGTACATACTATATGGATATAGTACATATACATATACATACATACATATACTTACGTACATGCACACATGCATATATACATATACAGTATACACACTGAATCATTGAATCAGTGTCAACAGAATAAACAAACAAAATGTTACATTATTCTGGTTAACTCACAAGCTTTTTAACAAACACCTCGTTTTCTACATAAAAAATAATCCTTTTTAAAACTGTTGACAGTCCTATCCGTGAATTATTCAGAATGACAACAAGGACATTTGTGGTAGAGATGTTACCAATAGATCCCCTTTTTAACTGTTAGAGGTCAAGTGATGGATGTGGGCAGCTGCGGCTCAGAAGCAGAGTGGGTCGTCCACTAATGGGAAGGTTGTTGGTTCGATCCCCGGCTCCTCCTGCCACATATCGAAGTATCCTTGAGCAAGACACTGAACCCTGAATTGCTACCGATGCCATGCATCGGTGTGTGAATGTGATTGAATGAGTTAGTTTCTGTACCAAGGACTTGGCCATCACTGAGTGAATGTGTGTGAAAGGGTGAATGTAGCACGCAGTGTAAAAGCGCTTTGAGTGGAAGACTAGAAAGGCGCTATAGAAGTACAGGTCCATTTACCATGACATACTAATTACATTAACCAACAGTATACCCAAGCTGGACCAGAGTATTAATTAATGAATTAGTATTAAAATGCTACTTACATATTAAAAGTCCAGTGTGCAGGATTTAGTTGTTTTTCAGTTAATACTCATTAGCAAAAAATCCATCACAGTGGCCAAGAGGCTTTTTTGTAATGAGCTGGACTTTTGTGTCAAATTTTATGTCATTTGGACTTATGGTGTGAGGGGCATGGCCTTTCCACAATTGCCCTTTTTGGGCCTTAATTACAGAACCATCAGGTCGATTGGGCTCATGTTTCTTGGGATCCTAATGCACAAATTTTCCAGTTATTGGGCCAAGTTTTTCTAGCCCGGTTCAACTCATGCCGAATCCAGATTCTATTTTTATTTTCAGCAATCCATGCCGTGCTCCGTTTCCACCAGCTTCTACTTGTATTGCATGTGAACAATTCAAATCCCCATTAATGAACTATATGGCACAATATACTGTATCTCTACCACACACTATAGAACTGCATGTGAACAGATCATGGCAACTTCATGTCATCAAGTAATTATGTGCACTCAAAACAATTATGAAGGGGAAGAAGCGTTTTTGTGTTACAGAAGTTTTATTTACAACCGTGTGATATGGTCTCATGTTCCAATCTGACTTCACTTACTAGAATAACAGCACATCATCTCCACTGATTCATTCATCCACGGTTTCAGAAAAGAAATTTGAGGCTTGGTTTACAAAAACATTCAGATACCTAAATCAATGAAGACTAGAAGACCATCTAGCGCTCCTAATGGCATTTGCAAGAATCCATCAGCTCTGAATGAAAGCAACCAATCAGAGCCAAGATAGTTCATGGTTGAGTTTCATTCCCAAGTCATCAAATCAAATCAAAACCAATGCTGGGAATGAGACTCAACAATAAATTATCTTCAAGTAACCAACCCAAAATTGTCTTTATATCTTTTCTTGGCTCTGATTAGTTGTTTTCGTTCAGGCCCAGTAGATGTCTGATGTATTACTGTCAGGATATAGTGAAAGTTTCACCAAATATGTCAAAAAAGAATTTCATAAAAGTTACCTATAGCAGCTTTAATCTTGTGCACAAAAGATAAAAAAGTATGTTGGAGTCTCTGTAGAAAAGATGGGGAAGGAAATGTAACTCAAGATCCACTTACAATCTTTTTTCAGGGCTTTTAACCCAATGTCATGATCTATATCAGCACCATCCACAGATTAAGACTGAGCTGTGGTTTAAAGCTCTTGAAAAAGCCAGTAAGTGGACCTTCAGTTTTCTGTTCTGACTACTTTTTCCAAAATTGAGAACAAACTTCCATTGTTAAAAATCATATATTTTTGCATTATGTCAATATGATTTAATACACATTTGTTTTTCTACTTAAGAGTAGCGATGGGCACCAGGATGTTTTTCAGCTAATAAATGGCCTCCTGTTGCACCTTGAGTGTTTGCATCCTTATGAGCACCACTGATCTGGTAACTGAAACTAGCTAGGCATGATGAGAATGAGCTTTTATTTTATTTAAAGCCACCACATGTAGAGTTTATGTAATTACTTTTAAAATGATTCTGATTAAAGTTTTTATTTGCAGTGTTCTTTAAAGTCATGTGAGCCCCGTCATTAAGGATGCTGCATTAACCAACATGTTAACGGACCGTACTCACTGTTGAAGAAGAGAAGGTTTGTAGTGATTGTAGTAGTTTCTGATGGCAAAAGGTTGTATTAATACTGGATTTAGACTGCACTGCTTCAGACAGTTCATCCTGGGTCACGGTGTCTTTTACTGTAACTACCACAGTGGTACCACCAGATTTTTACATCCTACACACAGTGGTCATGATTTAAGTGAGAAATCCAGTCTCTTATGATTTTATGCAGACACCTCTGGTTATTTAGTGCTCTTTAATGGCACTGACTGGTTCACTACACAGGTGCTCTGGTTAGTGACCTACTGCCAATCATACTGCTAACATCAATAACCAACCAAGTAATTCATGTTTTAGTTTGCAGTTTGAAGCGGGAGTCAATGCTCGGTTGGTTTACTCGGTTTCTCCAAATCCTAAAGTGTTAGTTGATGCAGTCAGAGAGCTGTCCGCTGGTTACTGTACAGGTTAATGTGTTGGCGGGTACAGTCTGCCTCATAAATATGTTGGAAGCAGTGGAACAGTAGGAGAGCTGAATGCAGAATTATTTCCAGAAGTTGCCTCATTCCCCCTTATACTGAGGACGCCTCTTCTCCTTGAACGCAGCCAAACCCTCCAGTCGATCTTTAGTTGGGATCACCTTAAAAACAACACAAACATGTCAGTGCTAAACAAGATAAACCTCTGTGTTTGAAGTCTGTCTCAAGTCAATGAGGGAGAATGCACTAAGGTGTATAATAAATAATAAATAGAAAAATGACCTCTCATAATACAATACAATCCAACACCAGCATGAATTACAGCCAATCAACTCTTTTTAAGAAATCATTTTCCAGGACTCTTCTAGGACATTTTCCAGGAGTTTTCTTGACAATACAGGATAGAACTTGCTCACACACAGTCATAATTCACAGGAAGGCCTAGTATTCATTCTTTTTCCCCTTTAATTATGCAGGGTTCATGATGAAGTGGCACAGGTCAGTGTTTATGGGAGACGTTGGCTTGCTTCCCATTGTTTTCGCCACAGGCAATTCTTTACTACAATCAATCACTCCATTTTTCAGTCTACTACAGTTTCCCTCTAACCTGGGTTTATGTAGGCGATCTGAGTATACACAGGATGCATTCAGGCACGGTACAGAGTAAAAGTCACCTGCATTTTTGGAAAATAGACTTGAAGCCCAAAGGTGCGCTTTGGGTCACGGTTACCCACGAGTTAAACATGAGCGGTTGCATGGTCTGTGTACACACATAAGACGGTTGACTGAAATGTTTCATGAGGAGTCAATAATACCAGCATTAATAACAGGTAGTTTAAAAAAAACCCTTCACAGCATACTGCAGTTAGAAATTGAGTATAATCAGCTGATAATTAGCCTGATCAGCCACTGTAGCTCACTGCATGTATTCCCCCACCGTCTCCAACACAACCAGATATTTAGCCTGTTAGATATTTATCCGGTGTTGGCCAGGCATTGGCGGAGCTCTAGTTGAAACTGTGGTTAGTTGCTGAACAGTTCACACAACCTGATCATCCTCACGGAGCAAGTGCCAATTTGCCTCTGAACTGGGGGCATTTGTCGTAGGTCTCCCAAAATAACCATCTGGTTTCAGAACATAAGGCATGTTAGTTTCAACAGCCAATCAGCTTGTAGCAAAGTCAGTTGGTTACAAACTGTTACAAACTGTCGGCTAGTGGAAGAGTTTTTTGGGGTTTGACCATTTGTTTGAGGAACAGCCTTGTGTGTATGACACAAGCAATGAAATTGACTCAGATAAAGAGCCCCAATGAACAGCTGCGCTCTTGTTTTTTATGTTTTTTGTTGGATTTTCAGAACATTGCATAGGTGCATAGCAAGTAGTTGGAAGTTGTCTCACATATTTGATCTGAACTGAGCTTTATAGTACGAGAATTCGTTTGAAGAAGCTATACGCTGTTTGTATGTGGTCTCACACGCTAACAAATACATACAAGTCTATAAGGGCTATAAGGTTATAGTTAGACTATGATCAATTAGCTATCAACATATAAGTTTAGCTTCAACAATGACTCTCTGGTTGGTATCAAAGACAGGATTGCCACCGATTGTCAGCTGTTTCCATGGTTACCACACATCAAGCGCCTGGTGTTAACTTACGGAGAGCTTATCTGCCTGTCTATTCACATGAGGAGCGCAGTGCGACCCCGCAGATCCAAGCAAGTGGCGGATAGGGGCTTTTCGTCTGAAAATACCTTACCCATTCTACAGATAATGTATGAAAGTCTTATCTAGGCCGACCCAATAACTGAACTGAATGTATACATTTCATACAGCAGGGTAAATATTTGTGAAATCACTTACCTGGGCGTAGCAAGCCTCTTCAATTGCCAGACCTGTGGATAAATCCACCTGAAAGACAACATGGTTCTGTTAGTGTTGTGTTCACACTGCAGTTGGAAATGTATAGATTCCTAGAATTCCTGAATGATATACAATATTATTGTGATAAAAAACAATTATGAATATCTTCACATGGTTGGACTTGAAAAAGCTGTCTAGCTCTCCACTTTTTAAACAAAGGGACAAGAGGATCTTTCCAGTCATTCCAAAATCCTAATCCTTTCACCTCGGCTGAAGGCTCGGCTTGCCCGTTGTATTCCCCCAAAGAAAAAGTTAAAACTGGATGTGTGGAAATAGTACAGATTCCAGAATAAAGAAGAGGGAGATGAGCTTCCTATCTGGTAAATGGTAAATGGACCTGTACTTGTATAGCGCCTTTCTAGTCTTCCGACCACTCAACTCACGTGTCACATTCACCCTTTCACACACATTCACACAGTGATGGCAAAGTCCATCGAAGAGAAACTAACATTCATACACATTCACACACCGATACACGGAATCGGGAGCAATTTGGGATTCAGTATCTTGCTCAAGGATACTTCGACATGTGGCACCAGGGGCTGGGGATCGAACCCACAACCTTCCGATTTGGGAATGACCCACTCTGCCTCTGAGCCACAGCCGCCCCCATTTATTACATCTGGGATGCAATAAATGTGTTTCTAAACTAAATGTAATCTAAAGTGATTCCAGTATGTTTTAGTGCCATTTTAAAAGTATGAAGTACATTTTCATGATTATTGTGATAATACCATGTATTGCAATTATTTTGGCCAAGATAACCCTGACATGAAATTTTCGTAACATCCCATGCCTATACCTTATACAAGAAGAAGATATATGGCAACTGCATGTTACTGTTTCTGTGCTACACATCATGGAGAATATCCAGCCTGGATGCAGATGTGTGTGCACTCTAGATTTTTGCATTTTCTAAAACGAAAATTAAATAACCACCTTTTTTTTTTTTTTTTTTTAAAAACAAGAAAAAAAAACCAAAAATCTAATGACTGAAATGAAACTGCAAAGGTTCAACAGATGTTAAGAGTTTTGTAAGTTAGCCAAAGGAAGGGTACTGTAAAATCAGTCCTGCACTAAGACTTACCTCTATCCCCTGGTTGATTGCCAGTTTTGCCATCCGTATTGCAATTGGACCCTGTAGACCCAGAAATCAAAGAGTGACTTCCCTTTTAAAAGGTTACATAAATTGTTGGGTGTGACATAAACTGTTTTTGTTCTGAATCACTACAATATTATAATGCACTTATCAAGGCCTACAGTGAAAAAAGCTGTTCATGTAGTCATGAAAATAACTATATCACCTTTTTCCCTCAGTGCGTACACACACACACACACACACACACACACACACACACACACACACACACACACACACACACACACACACACACACACACACACACACACACACACACACACACACACACACACACACACACACCTTGTCGGTGCAATGCTCTCATTACCTGAGGGTTAATCTCACGGGCGAGCTCCAGAGCTCGCAGGTAGGCAGCATCTCCACTCTTATTCTGCTCCACAGAATGACTGACGAGGCCCAGACGACACGCCTCTGTTCCATCCACCACCCGGGCAGCAAAGATTAGCTCCTTAGCAAGAGAGACACCAATCACCCTGGGTAGACGCTGTGTACCACCTGCACAGGAAACACAAACCTGGATGGGACATGGCCACGACCACAGATGCTGATAGGAGGACAGTAAGAGTCTAGGCCTCTGCCAACCAGCTTCATTTCTACAGTGATGTTTGTGCTGGCTGGTTTTGTTGTATGTTCAGTTACAGGTACACTATCACCACTGAATTTACTAATGTAAACTATATATTTAGACTGTTTTTCTGCTATCGATCTTCATCAGTTAACTTCAATAATTTCTTCATCGAAGCCATCAACCTGTCTATTAGACCCGATCCCAACTAGGCTGCTTAAAGAAGTTGTTCCCTTAATTGGCACTTCTTTACTGGATATGATTAATCTTTCTTTATTATCAGGATATGTACCACAGTCCTTTAAAGTAGCTGTAATTAAACCCCTTCTTACAAAGTCCACTCTTGACCCAGGGGTTTTAGCCAACTATAGACCAATCTCTAACCTCCCCTTCCTCTCTAAGATTCTGGAGAAGGTAGTCGCCAAAGAGTTGTGTGAATTTTACATAACAATAGTTTATTTGAGGATTTTCAGTCAGGATCTAGAGTTCATCATAGCACAGAGACAGCTCTGGTTAAAGTTAATAATGACCTTCTGACTGCTTCTGACAATGGACTGGTCTCTGTACTAGTATTATTAGATCTTAGTGCTGCATTTGACACCATTGACCATAATATTCTTTTACAGAGACTTGAGCATCAAATTGGCATTAAAGGAACCGCACTAAGCTGGTTTAAGTCATATTTATCAGATCGCTCGCAGTTTGTACATGTTAACGATGAATCTTCAATAAATACTACAGTTAGTCATGGAGTTCCACAAGGTTCTGTACTTGGACCAATACTATTTACTTTATATATGCTCCCTTTAGGCAAAATTATTAGGAATCACTCCATTAACTTTCACTGTTATGCAGATGATATGCAGTTATATCTATCGATCAAGCCTGATGAAATTAAACAATTATCTAAATTACAAACATGTCTTAAGGACATAAAATCCTGGATGAGCTGCAATTTTCTGATGTTAAACTCAGAAAAAAATGAAATTCTTGTTCTTGGCCCCAAAAACATTAGAGACTCACTGTCTAAAGATATAGTTACTCTAGATGGCATTAACTTGGCCTCTAGCACCACTGTCAGGAATCTTGGAGTTATCTTTGATCAGGACTTGTCATTTAACTCCCACATAAAGCAGACCTCCAGGACTGCCTTCTTTTTTAAAATCCTCCTCCTCACCTATACAGCTCTTCATGGTCAGGCCCCTTCATTTCTTAAAGAGCTCATAGTACCCTATTACCCCTCTAGAACACTACGTTCTCTGAATGATGGGCTACTTGTGGTTCCTATAGTCTCTAAAAGTAGAACAGGAGCCAGAGCCTTCAGTTACCAAGCTCCTCTCCTGTGGAACCAGCTTCCAGTTGTGGTTCGGGAGGCAGACACCCTCACCACATTCAAGAGTAGGCTTAAGACATTCCTCTTTGATAAAGCTTATAGTTAGGGCTGGATCAGGTGAGTCCTGAACCATCCCTTAGTTATGCTGCTATAGGCCTAGACTATCGGGGGATTTCCCATGGTGCACTGAGCCTCTCTCTCTCTCTCTCTCCCCCTCTCCCTCTCTCTCTCATGTTAAAAAGAGTTCGGTCTAGACCTGCTCGCTCGCTCTCTCTCTCTCCTCTCTCTCTCTCTCTCTCTCTCTCTCTCTCTCTCCCTCCCTCCCTCCCTCCCTCTCTCTCTCATGTTATAAAAAGTTCGGTCTAGACCTGCTGTATTTGAAAAGCGTCCTGAGATAACTTCTGTTATGAATTGGCACTATACAAATAAAACTGCATTGAATTGAAAATCATGCTGGCAGGCCCATACACACATACATAAAACATAAAACATCACACTGTAAGAACTAGAAACATAGATTTTTAACAGGAGGGGACTTTAATGGGTTCTGCCTTAGCCCATGCTACACACTTCCACCAATTTCATCTAAATCAGGCCTGTAGTAAATAAGTAAGTAAATCAGTCAGCTTGCAAGTGTGGTCATTCAGATTTCATTTATTCACATTTCCTCTGAATTTCTACAGCAGACCTCAAGATAACTTGTTCTGCACCATCAGTGTATGCAGCAGTATTATGAATTTATGAAATGTTTATTTAATGATTCAATGATATTTATGATAATTTACATTATGAAATAAGAAATCCTGCCTTACCTGCTCCAGGAATAATCGCAAGTTTGGTCTCAACTAGTCCCATCTTCGCTGTATTGGCTGCAGACGTCAAAGAGCAGTATTAATACTTACACATAATAACACTACTACCAGTATATTTATTACATCAATTAATGATAATTCAATAACATCACTAGGTATACATTCAGTACAGTGACATGGAGTCACAACTACTGTAAGTTTACTTTGTACATAGGCCAAAATCATATCACCAACACATATCATTATCTTTACGTAACATCTTATCTTTGTCAGGTTAAGGAGGGGCCTATGGAAGTGGGTACAGAATCAATCCAGACCAGAAACAGACTGAAGCAGAACATTAGAGTAGCAAAGAGAAGCCACAAGACATCACCAACTACAAGTAACCAAAACATGTTTGCGCTGCTAATAACCATTAACCACACATAAAGCAGAGGCAGACTTATTTAACCTCAAACCTCAGTCCACTGAGTCTTACAGGAAATCCTTATGTCACAAGCAAGCGCCATTTCCAAGCCTCCTCCTAAGGCAGCCCCATCTATTGCAGCAATTGTTGGTACCGGCAGGTTACCTAGAAGAGAAAAGAAGCCGGCCAAGAGATGAGAAAATGTACATATTCAGGGTTCCCGCTGTTTTTAAAGCTGCAGTAGGTCATTTTTATTAAAATAAGTTTTTATAATATGTGCTGAAAGGTATATCCTGACAGTGGCACATGAGACAGCTAATCTGTGAAAAATAAAAAATAAATTTGTTCCTCTGGCTCCTTCTAGTGCTCTGAACCAAAAAACAACCAATCCGAGCCAAAAAGATAGTTGATTGTTGAGTTACATTTCCAGGTCGTCAAACACAGACACTTTGGGAACTGGGAATGAGACTTAATGATCAACTATCTTTAAGCATCCAACCTGAATTGTCTTTCTATCTTCCATGCCTCTGATTGGTTGTTTTCATTCAGGCCCAGTTGATTCTTGTTAATACCATTCGGAGCACTAGGAGGAGCCAGAATTTTAAAGATGATCTGTCTCATGTACTACTGTCAGGAAAGAGTGAACGTTTCAGAGAATATGACAAAAAGTAATTTTTTTATAGAACTTACCTACTGCAGCTTTAAGAAATCAGTGTTTATGGGACACTGTGTTACTGTTGCACTGTTGCAGCCAGTTTTTCTGCAGCGTCTCCACTGATTTGTCTACAGTTTACTACAGTTTTCCTTTAACCCAGGTTTATGTAAGCAATCTGAGTGAGGGGCTACAATACAACAAACATTTTCCAGGACAGGATATTTGGTCACTATCAATTGCCATGACTGGTAGGCTAATCCCTAAATATCCAGGTTTTCCAGGATGTGTGGGAACCCTGGTATTACCTAAACTACTTCAGACGACTACTCAACTTCAGGTTCCCCCCAGTGCTCGCTATGCCAGGGCTTTTTATTTAGAAAATAACGACCTACCCAGAGACTCTCACTATAAAATATTTTATCAAGGTCATTTCTACTAATATAGTTGTTGCTGCTGTTGTTGCTGTGCACCTTTGTCTCTGTCCTTCTCTATTTACCCCTCTACCCCCCTCTCCCTCTCTAGCCCCAACTGTTCGAGGCAGACAGCCACCCACCTAGAATAGGGGTCTGTCCGAGGTTTCTGCCTTTTAACAGGCAGTTTTTCCTTGCCCTTGTCACCAAGTGCTTGCTCATGGTGGTACTGTTGGGTCTCTGTAAATAATGTTATAAAGAGTTCAGTCTAGACCTGCTCTATTTGAAAAGTGTCCTGAGATAACTTCTGTTATGAATTGGCGCTATACAAATAAAATTGAATTGAATTGAAAAATAATCAACTGAAATATGTTCCTAGCTTTAGCCAGGTGAGAAGATAGTAACTGCTGTCTGATATAGAACTCTGTCAGAAGCTCTATTATAACAGTATGGCTGAGGTACAAAACCATGACCATCATAATACAAAGTCTAATTGTGCTTTCCCCGACTCTCTTTTTTTTTATTTCATTAACAAGAGCTTTAGGGGCCAAAAGCACCTGCACACGCAAATCTGTGCAAAACTCTGATTTATCTTTTATTAAATAAGAGTTTTGTACAGGTTGCGTTTGATAATCTATAGCTCCAGCACTGTTAATTCTGATACTGGATGATCTCCATTAACGAAAGCTTCTTCCACTTTTTCCAAGTAATGACATCAGAATTACTTGAGATATTTTCATGAACAATGCATCGCCGTCTATTGTGTAGAATAGTCAATAAATTTACAATAAAGTCATGGACAGTCACTGAACTCATCATTCTTTACCCAGCTCTGTGATGAGTGCTCTTGCTTTGGACACAAATGGTCCAACTTCACTCTGGTGCATCTTGGCCCTCTCCTTCAGGTCTGCACCTGCACACAGAGTATGTTCCAAACATCAGATTCCAGCAATCAAAAAAAATGTACAAAAAAATCCAGCGTACCTGCACAGAAGATCCCAGGAGCAAGACTGCATAAAATGACACTGCGCACTTTGTTGTTTTTCTTGATGTCCTCCACGGCCTCGGACATCTGGAAGATACATTTTCTTTGTCTTATTCCAAAGAATTGCTCATAAATAACATTTTATAAATGTCTCATAACTTAAATGTAAAACTCACTCAATGTTGCTTGACGACAATAATAATAATAATAATAATAATAATAATCAAATAATAATAGAAAAACAGCATATTTCATAAGGCTGTGTGTTAGCAAGAATCTGACGACACAATACGTATCACAATACAGGGGAACGATTCGAACGAACAAAGATATTGTGATACCGTAAGCAAGGAGATATTGCAATTTTTAAAAAACATTATTTTTAAAAGCATCACAGGAAGAAGAACACACCACCATATGCATTAAAAAAAGTTGACCTTTTTATGCAACCAGGACAGTGGGATCTGCATTTGTATTTATCACAGTCGCTGTAACATCAAACATCATAACCCTCAGTTTATGTTTACAACACTGCAATCTACTGGTTGGATTTTGAACACAAAAATCAATAGTGTTTTTGTGAATTGATACAATATCACAAAACATTGTGATAATCAAATATATAAATATTTTCTTACACCCCTAACATTTCAAGACAGACATCAGAAATGATAACAGATCAGAAAAAAAGAAACCTCAGTGCTTGAAGACAATTAAGACATACAGGAAGGTCAGTATTTTTTGAAAGACCTACTGAGCACTTCCCATACACTGTTAAGTCAGTAGTGGAGCTGGAATGAGCCTTCTCCAAGGATATACATAGACATCTCTGCAAATGTACCCTTGGGATATCGCTGGTAACCATAGGCTGCCGAGGCTCCTAGTAGAGCCAATGTGCACACCTTCCAAATCTCAAATCTGATTCAACTTGCCATGTGAATGTCTCTGAGTGACCACACTAGCCTACATACAGCCCAGAGAAGCAAAATTCCAGCTTCACATATGTTACCAATCATTGGTCAGATAAATACAAGAGAAAATAGAAATACATACCATTTTAACCAGATTTTTGCTTATGGCATTTTTGGCTTTTGGTCGATTTATCCCAACAACGACGATACCTGGAAGACAGAGTTACATTATGCTGATTATCAATGGCGCACACATAACTCCTAGACATCACATAACACCATGATACAATCTACCAACATCACAGCATGAAAACTCCATTTCCATAGAGCAGAAAAGACGTGTATAGGATGTACAATATGTTGAAGCAAAATGTATCATTTCTTTTAAGTTTTCCATAGTCATATATTATTGTGCATTTTATTATGAGCCAATTTATTTTTCTTCTCAGTAAACCTTTGACCTGAATAACACTAGAGACCAATTGTATGATCCATTTAACAATGATGCCGACAAAACTTGCTTTGCTGCCTACGAAAGATTACATAACATTCAGCTGGGATGCTCCTTTTTCTCCCTTCCTGTGCTCAAGGCTGAGATGATCATTAACATGTATTCCCAAGATTACAAAGTGACTGTTCCTGCACATCTGGATCAGACCCGCAACTTACACTCTGGTGTATGAGCTCGGCCCTTCCTTTGATGAATAATCATTAATATATTTTTTTATTGATATTGATAACATTTTTGAGTCTTCAAGAATGAACGCTGAAAAATGGCATCCAAGTGGCAAGTTATATTCCATCCATCCATTAAAGTTGGAGTGCTGTCCTAGTCTCTTTTTTTATTATTGACTACATAAAAGGATCCAGCACCCTTTCTTCAAGGTCTAATGTTAATCATAATCCCCCTAAGACACAGATCTGTCGTCCCCATTTGAACTGTCCCTCTATACCCAGAGGGACAGGAAACCATCAAGTTTAATTGGTTGTTGCTTGATGTTTATATAGAAGAACTTGATTCTGCCCCTAGAGTAGTCCTTGTTTTGTCTCTCTCCAACTTTTCAAATATCTTCAGATCTAGTGACTGCAAAGGCATAGCATATGATTCCATATTTATATAGTATAATGAGCTAATTACACAAATTGCACAACATGCAACTCTATATAGAAGTACTTGGATAAAGTGGTATTTGGGTAGAATAAACCTTTAAAACCATAATAGAAAGTAGTATTTGGCTAGGTGACACTGTCATGAAAAACTAGGGTCCTAGAAATGCGGTCTTGAAAGTGCAGCCTCCTCTACTGCAGGAACATACTTTTGATAGCTTTTTGAGTCAACACAGTAACATAAGAGGGTAAAATAATGAAAAAAAAGGGGGAAAAAAATCATATTCAGAATTTTTGACATACCTGCCACACTGAATTGATTTGGCAATTCAACATTTGTATATGTTATATTTTGTCATAATTATAACATTACTGGGCACCCGGATAGCTCAGTGGGTAGAGCTGGCGACCCATGTACCGAGGATGAGTCCTTGCTGCAGCGGCCCAGGGTTCGACTCCGCACTGCGGCCCTTTGCTGCGTGTCATCCCCTCTCTCTGACCCCCTTTCCTGTCTATCTTCAGCTGTCACTATAATAAAGGCAATAAAAGCCCAAAAAATAGACTTAAAAAAAAATAATTATATTACTGACAAGAAATTAAATTTGTTCATATTATAAATTGCTACAATCTAAATAGATAGTAGGGGGGAAAGCTATATTTATGGATTTGGAGATTAGCTAATCATGCATGATCTCCACATGCTTTGGATCATAGTACAGCTATTGCGTTGCATAGGTAACATTTATCTACATTAAATTTAAATCAAAATAATTCATTTGAAGGATAAGTTTCATTAAAAGTTTTAAATTGTATTTTTTCATTTTTGGGGGAATTGTAATTTTTAGAAATGTTGTTCTTATAGCCAATATTTCAGTTTTTCCACGGTTTGAGATTAAGATATAGAATTTTTTCAAATATTGCCAGTTTGAGGCTATATTGTTATTACTTGTCAGAAGTTTTGCAGAGCAGAGGAGCTATTACGTAAAACTGTGACGTAAGCGCGTATCCTCCACTTTGATGGTGGGCGGAGCTCCCTTTCTGTTTAGATCTTGATAGTTGACCTTACACCGTATCACAACAGATTCCCGTTCACTGGAACGCTGCCGACGTTTCGGTTTCGACCATAACAGCTCTTCTATCCAAAAAGTAAAACAGGAGTTCCGAGTGAGCGGAACTTACCGGCATCCTCTCCGTCCAGATATCTGACGCGCAGGTCATCCTTCAAGTCGGAGCTGTAGTGTCGTGTCAGCACACCGTAACCGTTTCGGAAAGAGGGCGAGCCTATACCGCAGAACACATACTGTTTCAAAGAGGACGAGGCAGCCGCCAGCCTGCACGCGCTGTCCCGGTCCGCTGTGTGCACGCGGAAAGCTTGCAGCAGGGCTCTACGTCCAACCAAGACTGCCATGCTGAGGAGCCGCAGTACCGTTTGACTTTCAACTCTGAACCCAGTCACGTGCTGTCGTCACGTGACTTATTTGCAGTCCGTACAGAGCTGCCACGAGACAAATATTACAATTTTATCATCACCTCATTCATATGTTATACCGAAGAGTACATAATGCTTTAATAGTAGTGATATAATATATGATAGGATATAGGCTATATAGTGATGGGAATTCTTTCATTATTTATTTAGGATAGTTAGCCTAGCCTACTTAAAAAATGCATTAATTGTTACTCTTTTCAAAACTAATATTACTTTACTTATTACTCCCTGCCAACAGTATTTAGTTACATAACTAATTATATTACTTTTCTGCTACTCCCCACAAAATTGGTAATTGTGTCCAGTGGCCCCAGAGTTCAGAGTTCATCAAAAGCTGTGTGGGCATGTGTGTGACATAATGTAATAACATGAGATTGATCCCATTCTCCTATCAAGATCTATAGAGCCCAGAGCTCTACAGAATACAGCATTTGTTATCGTTTTTTTAAATCTAAACGAAAATCCTTGATAATGTTACTATAATCTAATTACACATTTTTTCCAGATGTAATCTGCGAATCACTAGAACCTAGAAAATGTTATGGGGTTGTTTTATTACCAACACAAATTGAATATGAATTTAATAGTTTTGAATTTGAATTTTTTTTCAATCTAAATATAGTATGCGATATTCGGCCTGCTGTACGCCATACTGAACTGAGCAAGACTGATCTGTAAACAAATACAAGTATACTTTGGAACTGCAGTTTTTCTCTATAAAAAGCACTGTAACATTTACATCTCTGAACTGATTTCCCTTATACTTATATTCTTAGGGTTAGGGTTTTTAATTTTAGTTTAATGTATGTTTAATGTATGTAATGTATGTTTTGTATTTTGTATGCTACTGGATTCTTGAATTTTTCTTGGGATAAATAAAGTATCTATCTATCTGTCTATCTACTAGTTGGCCTACATACCCAGAAAGCGGGTTGTAGTAGTCCCCTGGATGAGTGCCTCTGGATTTGAAAATTTAAATAAGTCTCACAAGTTAAAAGCAATGAGTTCAATTCAACATTAGATTCAATTTAAATACAATATCAAATTTTGTACACAATATTAACTTTGAACATTTCAAATCAAAACTATTAAATTCAGATTCAATTTTAGTTGGCGCTAAAATAACTCCATACAATTTCCCCATTTCTCCCAAGTGATATTAAGACATACAGATTATTTCATCTTGAATAAGCAAGGTTTCAAGGTATCTGCTTCTTTAAATCCCTCTACCACTCTAATGCAAACGAGGTAAATGGTTCATGTGTCACGTTTTTACTACTACTTATATTGATATTTGTTCCATTACCCACTATCAGATTGCATAGGCCAGATCAATTCAATTCAATTTTTCAATTCAATTTTATTTGTATAGCACCAATTCATAACAGAAGTTATCTTAGGACACTTTCCAGATAGAGCAGGTGTAGACCAAACTCCTTATAACATTATTTACAGAGACCCAACAGTAACACCATGAGCAAGCACTTGGCGACAAGGGCAAGGAAAAACTGCCTGTTAAAAGGCAGAAACCTAGGACAGATCCTCCGGCTCGAGGTGGGTGGTCGTCTGTCTCGACCAGTTGGTGTGAGAGAGAGAGAGACAGGTGCACAGCAACAACAGTAGCAACAACTACACTAATAGTAGTGACTGATGATGATGAACATGACAACAGCAACGATGGGGGACAATGAGTAGTAACAACAGTAACCGTAGCAATAATAATACTTATAATAATAATAACACTAATATCAGTGATATTGGCAAGTGCAGTCAAGCAGGGCCATGGCAGGAGGCTCCACCAGGATCCATGAGAACCTGCGAGACGAGAAAGCACAAGAACTCCGGGGAAGAAGTGAAGTTAGTAACATGCATTAATGGGACATGAATAAGTGCATAAAGACAGAGAGAGGAAGAGAGGAGCTCATTGCATCATGGGAAATCCCCCGATAGTCTAGGGCTAGGCCTATAGCAGCATAACTAAGGGATGGTTCAGGACTCACCTGAGCCAGCCCTAACTATAAGCTTTATCAAAGAGGAATGTCTTAAGCCTACTCTTGAATGTGGTGAGGGTGTCTGCCTCCCGAACCGCAACTGGAAGCTGGTTCCACAGGAGAGGAGCTTGGTAACTGAAGGCTCTGGCTCCTGTTCTACTTTTTGAGACTATAGGAACCACAAGTAGCCCAGCATTCAGAGAACGTATTGTTCTAGGGGGGTAATAGGGTACTATGAGCTCTTTAAGATATGAAGGGGCCTGACCATGAAGAGCTTTATAGGTGAGGAGGAGGATTTTAAATTCTATTCTAAATTTTACAGGGAGCCAGTGCAGAGAAGCTAGTACAGGAGAGATGTGATCTCTTTTTCTAGTTCCTGTCAGTACTCGTGCTGCAGCGTTTTGGATTAATTGGAGCGTTTTAATGGACTTATTGGGGCAACCTGATAATAAAGAGTTGCAGTAATCCAGCCTTGAAGTAACAAATGCATGGATTAGTTTTTCTGCATCTGTCTGTGATAGGATGTGTCTAATTTTTGTAATATTACGTAAATGAAAGAAGGCAGTCCTAGAGGTCTGCTTTATGTGGGAATTAAATGACAAATCCTGATCAAAGATAACTCCAAGATTCCTGACAGTGGTGCTAGAGGCCAAGGTAATGCCATCTAGAGTAACTACATCTTTAGACAGTGAATCTCTAAGGTTATTGGTTTAACATCAGAAAATTGCAGCTCATCTAGGATTTTATTTAATTTCATCGGGCTTGATCGATAGATATAACTGCATATCATCTGCATAACAGAGAAAGTTAATGGAGTGATTCCTAATATTTTTTCCTAAAGGGAGCATATATAAAGGAAATAGTATTGGTCCAAGTACAGAACCTTGTGGAACTCCATGACTAACTGTAGTATTTATTGAAGATTCATCGTTAACATGTACAAACTGAGAACGATCTGATAAGTTTGACTTAAACCAGCTTAGTGCGGTTCCTTTAATGCCAATTTGATGCTCAAGTCTCTGTAAAAGAATATTATGGTCAATGGTGTCAAATGCAGCACTAAGATCCAATAATACAAGTACAGAGACAAGACCATTGTCAGAAGCAATCAAAAGGTCATTATTAACTTTAACCAGAGCTGTCTCTGTGCTATGATGAACTCTAAATCCTGACTGAAAATCCTTATGTAGAAAGTCACACAACTGTTTGGCAACTACTTTCTCCAGAATCTTAGAGAGGAAGGGGAGGTTAGAGATTGGTCTATAATTGGCTAAAACCCCTGGGTCGAGAGTGGGCTTTTTAAGAAGGGGTTTAATTACAGCTACTTTAAAGGACTGTGGTACATATCCTGATAATAAAGAAAGATTAATCATATCCAGTAAAGAAGTGCCAATTAAGGGAACAACTTCTTTAAGCAGCCTAGTTGGGATCTGGTCTAATAGACAGGTTGGTGGCTTTGATGAAGAAATGATTGAAGTTAACTGATGAAGATCGATAGCAGAAAAACAGTTTACATTACTTAAGTTTACATTAGCAAAAGTCCCTGAACTTGGAGAGCCACTGATAACTGTTGATGGCATTTGGTGATTAAGTTTCTCTCTAATAGTAATAATTGTATTATAAAAGAAGCTCATAAAGTCGTTGCTACTTAAGTTTATGGGGATATGTGGCTCAATAGAGCTGTGACTCTCTGTCAGCCTGGCTACAGTGCTGAAGAGGAACCTAGGGTTATTCTTATTTTCTTCTATTAGTGCTGAGTAATAGGCTCCTCTGACATAACGGAGGGCCTTTCTGTAAGTTTTAAGATTATCTTGCCAAATTGAGCGATATTCTAATAATTTGGAAGAGCGCCATTTCCTTTCAGATTTCCCAGCTTTTTGCTTTAATTGACGGGTTTGGTGGTTGTACCACAGTGCTAATCTCCTATGTTTTAATAATTTCCTTTTTATAGGAGCGACAGAGTCTAATGTTGATTGTAGTGAGCCTGCAGCACTATCGACAAGATTATCAATTTCAGAGGGACCAAAGTTATTATAGGACTCTGTTAAATTCAGACATGGCATTGAATTAAACACTGAAGGAATCTCCTCCTTAAATTTAGCTACAGCACTGTCAGATAGACATCTGCTGTAGGAAGTTTTGCCTAATGGCTTATAATCTAATAGTGTGAATTCAAAAGTTATTAAATAATGGTCAGATAGGAAAGGATTATGTGGGAAGACTATTAAATGTTCAATATCAATGCCATATGATAGAACGAGGTCAAGAGTGTGATTAAAACAATGAGTTGGTTTATTTACACTCTGACAGAAGCCAATTGAGTCTATTAATGATATAAATGCATTACTAAGGCTGTCATTGTTAACATCCACATGAATATTAAAATCACCTACAATAATTACTTTATCTGATTTAAGGACTAAACTTGATAGAAACTCTGAGAATTCAGATATAAAGTCAGAGTATGGTCCAGGAGCGCGGTACACTATAACAAATAGAACTGGCTGCAGTGTTTTCCAGTTTGGGTGAGAAAGACTAAGAACAAGACTTTCAAATGAATTATAATTTAGTTTAGGTTTAGGGTCCATTAAAACGCTCGAATCATATATGGCTGCCACTCCACCTCCTCGGCCTGTGCCTCGAGGAATGTGAGTATTAATATGACTGGGGGGGTGGATTCATTTAGGCTAACATACTCCTCGTGGGGCAACCAGGTCTCAGTAAGACAAAGTAAATCAATATCATAATCTGATATTAATTCATTCACTAAAACAGCTTTAGAGGACAGAGACCTGATATTTAACAGTCCACATTTCATTCTCTTATTTTGTGATACTGAGGAGTTAGTTTTAATTTTTATTAGATTTTTATGTTGAACTCCTCTTGTTTTCATTTCTTTAAATAATTTAGGTGGTCAGGGGACAGACACAGTCTCTATGGGGTTTTGGGTGGGTGACTGTTCTAAAGAAAGAGCAGAGAAGTGTGTAAGACAGCAGCTCTGCTTCCTGGTCCTAACTCTGGACTGTCAGGTTTTAGAGATAAACTTCGCCATATTTCTAGATAAGAGAGCCGCTCCATCCAAAGTGGGATGGATGCCGTCTCTCCTAATCAGACCAGGTTTCCCCCAAAAAGGCTTCCAGTTATCAATGAAGCCCACATCGTTTTCTGGACACCACCTCGACAGCCAGCGGTGGAATGACGACATGCGGCTATACATGTCATCACTGGTCACATTGGGCAGGGGTCCAGAGAAAACTACGGAGTCCGACATAGTTTTAGCATAATTACACACCGACTCCACATTAATCTTAGTGACCTCCGATTGGCGTAAACGGGTGTCGTTACCGCCGACGTGAATAACAATCTTATTATTTTTACTTTTATCTTTAGCCAGCAGTTTTAAATTTGATTCAATGTCGCCCGCTCTGGCCCCAGGGATACATTTAACTATGGCCGCTGGCTTCGCTAACTTCACGTTTCTGACTATGGAGCTGCCAATAACCAGAGTTGGTTCCTCAGCGAGTGTATCGCTGAGTGGGGAAAATGTATTAGAAACATGAATGGGTTGGTGGTGAACTGTGGGCTTTGGTGTTTTAGTCTTCCCTCGCTCAGTCACCCAGCCTCCCTGTCTTCCCGGCTGCTCGGGAACTACCGGGGGATCTACCGGGGGACGGCAAACAGAAGCTACCTTCAGTCGGCCCGCACCGGCTACTGGGGGCTGGCTAACTATAGCGGCTAAAGATATCTCTGTGGAGCGGTGCTGTTCCTCTAACTCACTAAGCCTCGCCTCCAGTGCAGTAAATAAACTACACTTAATACAAGAACCATTATCATTAAAGGAGGCAGAGGAATAACTGAACATCTGACACACTGAGCAGGACAGAGGAGAGGGAGAGGGAGAAGCCATAGCTAACTGCTAATGTTACTGAAGCTAGCGTGTATGAAAAACTTTTGAAAATAGCGTAAGGTCGCTAAAAGAAGGAGAAACTCCGAGTGCTTAGATAGAACGAGTCTACATTTAAATGTTAAGCGGGAAAATCAGCGGTTCTTGGGTCTAAATGTGTTTTCTAATTTTCTGGTCTCATGCCTCCCAGTTGTGTTTAGTGGTTGGGAAATAATAGAACTACCTTAACAAACTTCCTGTAAATATGAACTTGAGAACCATACTTAACTGCCTGAAAACATGAAGCCAAAATAATTGGATAAAGCTATCTTAAACTGTAGTTATTATTCACATTTTTGTTTCTGCACATAATCCTGGGTAATCTAAAAGGAAAAAGCATAAAAAAAACACATGACTCAGTCACATTTATTGTAAACAAAAACTCACCATTACAATAAATCTTGAGAAGTGTTCAGATACAGGTAGCTGGACTTCAGGCTGCTGGGCAAATGACGCTATCGGCATCATCATGTATATTGCAATTTATGAAAACAAATGGACACAGAGTTCTTTTGAAATGAAATGCATTATTTGACATCATATCAACAAGGGCTGATTGAAGTTAAGCACTTTTACATCAAAGTATGATGTAATCACCCAAATTAATGACACCCTGACAGTTCTAGATTCTATAACATTTAATGTTTCAGTTACAAGAACTGTAGTCTCTGGAGACTCTTTCCATAATACAAATGTTAATTTTCTATGAATTGCAAACATTTGAGAATAAAATGTGTTAGAATGTGTCGGAGCTTTATAAAATCCAGTTACACTATCGGCAGCTCCATCATGGTAGTCACAATTTTCCATCCAGTGTCACACACAATCTTAGTTTAACCAGTGGCCTGGAAGGTTCAAACAAAAATCCACTAAAAAACATAAAGAGAAGCGATGACTATTCGGCAAACAGTGAACCAGTGAATGTAGCAGAGCCTGTTTAATGTTATGCTAAACTTATGTTAAAGCCAAAAGCTTTTTTGAACTACAGCAGAGAGGATGGAGCGCAGTGTGGTGTCTGTGAAGTAGTTTCAGCTCACTGCTAGAATGCAGTGACATTGTCATTAATTTCAACATGTACAGAATACAGTATTGATTACTGAAGTGATGAAAGTGATTACCAAAGTAAACGGGGACAAGAGAGAACAAAAATGCTGTTTTATAGGTCTGTAATTTATAATAGATTCCTAGAAAGTGTCCTGAAAATAATTGTGTAATTTGATATTAATTATAAAAAAATAGGACTCAAAAGAGAAGCTCCATTTAAACTTAAGTAAATATTAATTCACTATTCATTAATTATTGTAAACTTAAATAAAATATTTTTCCCAGAATTAGTACCAAATTACATAATTCTTTCCAAGAAATGTCTTGGGAATTATTCTGAGATTACAAACCCAGAATAAAGCACTACTGGACATTATTTTAAAGCAAAGTGACTGCATCTCCACCCGCTGTAATTCTGTCACCACACTAACATACAAATGGATACAACAACCACAACCACACTACATGATTTCAAAACATTACCGATTGTAGTTTTAAGGCAAAGAACAGCCAAACCGCCCCCCCCGGAACATGTGACGGCTGCTGCACCAGGGCAGGCTGGAGGGAGCCGTTCAGAACTGGGGCCTTTTCCAGCTCCACAAAATCAAAGCAGAACAGTGTTCAGTGACAGTAGGAGTATACTAGTGGGCAGTGCCCGGTGACAGCAGTCATGAATATTTTAGTGAAAGAAAAAGCCTCACTCTTAACAATGTCCTACACATGAATGATGTCTGTCGCACATCATTGATTTACAATTTACTGTAAATTCTCAAATAGGGCCCAGCAACCTTTTATTTAGGCTACCCAGACTGCAGTGAGAACCAGGTATTTATTTGGTCTATATGATCAAAAAATCTCCCTGTTTTCTCATCTGCTCCAATTTTAATTTGCTGTTAATTATCTTTACATGAAGGCACATTATACTGAACATCAAACTAAGTACATCTTAGTAAGATGAGTAAGTATAATGTCAGCACTAACTTCATCAGTAAAAGAGAGTCGTGTCATACACCAGAAATACTGTTTTCAAACACCAGTGAATTCATGTTTCATTTACTTCTTCATTTTTTTTAATCCCTGATCAAGCTACTGTTACTTATGTTTGAAAGAGTACTTGGCTGAAATGAGTATCCGGTACGGGTGATGTGCTTTTTTTATGACTATCATCAGAGTAAAATGTGTCAATAGTCAATAATTTTCTAATAAACAATACATAAAGCAACTTTTATTAAAAAAGCTTCTAATGACCTTTTGATTGCTTCAGACAATGGACGTGTCTCTGTACTTGTATTGTTAGATCTTAGTGCTGCATTTGACACCAGTGACCAGAATATTCTTCTACAGAGACTTGAGCATCAAATTGGCATTAAAGGAACCGCACTAAGCTGGTTTAAGTCATATTTATCAGATCGTTCTCAGTTTGTACATGTTAACGATGAATCTTCAATAAATACTACAGTTAGTCATGGAGTTCCACAAGGTTCTGTACTTGGACCAATACTATTTCCTTTATATATGCTCCCTTTAGGCAACATTATTAGGAATCACTCCATTAACTTTCACTGTTGTGCAGATGATACGCAGTTATATCTATCGATCAAGCCCGATGAAATTAATCTATTATCTAAATTACAAACATGTCTTAAGGACATAAAATCCTGGATGAGCTGCAATTTTCTGATGTTAAACTCAGAAAAAACGAAATTCTTGTACTTGGCCAAAAAATCTTAGAGACTCACTGTCTAAAGATATAGTTACTCTAGATGGCATTACCATTACCTCTAGCACCACTGTCAGGAATCTTGGAGTTATCTTTGATCAGGATTGTCATTTAATTCCCACATAAAGCAGACCTCTAGGACTGCCTTCTTTCATTTACGTAATATTACAAAAATTAGACACATACTATCACAGACAGATGCAGAAAAACTAATCCATGCATTTGTTACTTCTAGGCTGGATTACTGCAACTCTTTATTATCAGGTTGCCTCAATAAGTCCATTAAAACGCTCCAATTAATTCAAAACGCTGCAGCACGAGTACTGACAGGAACTAGAAAAAGAGATCACATCTCTCCTGTACTAGCTTCTCTGCACTGGCTCCCTGTAAAATTTAGAATAGAATTTAAAATCCTCCTCCTCACCTATAAAGCTCTTCATGGTCAGGCCCCTTCATATCTTAAAGAGCTCATAGTACCCTATAAACCCCTCTAGAACACTACGTTCTCTGAATGCTGGGCTACTTGTGGTTCCTATAGTCTCTAAAAGTAGAACAGGAGCCAGAGCCTTCAGTTACCAAGCTCCTCTCCTGTGGAACCAGCTTCCAGTTGTGGTTCGGGAGGCAGACACCCTCACCACATTCAAGAGTAGGCTTAAGACATTCCTCTTTGATAAAGCTTATAGTTAGGGCTGGATCAGGTGAGTCCTGAACCATCCCTTAGTTATGCTGCTATAGGCCTAGACTATCGGGGGATTTCCCATGGTGCACTGAGCTCCTCTCTTCCTCTCTCTTTCTGCACTCATTCATGTCCCATTAATGCATGTTACTGACTTCACTTCTTCCCCGGAGTTCTTGTGCTTTCTCGTCTCGCAGGTTCGATCGAGGTTATCGATCATGATGAAGCCTCCTGCCATGGTTCTGCTAGATTGCCATTACCAATACTGTTGTTGCTGTGCACCTGTCTGTCTCTCTCTCTCTGTCCTAGGTTTCTGCCTTTTAACAGGCAGTTTTTCCTTGCCCTTGTCGCCAAGTGCTTGCTCATGGTGGTACTGTTGGGTCTCTGTAAATAATGTTAAAGAGTTCGGTCTAGACCTGCTCTATTTGAAAAGTGTCCTGAGATAACTTCTGTTATGAATTGGCGCTATACAAATAAAATTGAATTGAATTGAAATTCTTCTGTAAGTAGCTCTCTTACTATTGTGATCAAAAACATTGCTCTGAAGCTCAACTCTGAGAGTTCTAATTAATATAGCAATTTCAGCCTTAAATTAACAACTTATGGTTAGTCCCGCCCATGTCTGGTTTAAGCCCCACCCATAATAATTTGTCAGTTAACAGATAATAGTGTACTCGCTCATTCCTACTGTCAATGAAATTCAACATTTCCAGCAGATAATTCACATTAAAAACAGTTTAATTGAAGTGGAAGCAAATGGAAATGATGAGAATGACATGACAGTGTTTCTGTACTGATGAAATTAGTGCTGTGGTATTGTAAATATATTGAATTTACCATTACAGTAAAGGTAATTCCACCCCTCCGCAACATTTCTAAATAAGCCTACTTTAGCAAACAGCCTTTGTTCCAACAGTTATTATTTGAGCACACTTTATTTGAAAATGTACAGTAATTGAAACGTTGTAATAACTAATATAAACCACACAGTGCAACAGCAAATACAGTGGAAATGCAAAACACACTAAGGTCATTCAGAAGAACATCCTTTCGATAATGACTCGTGATGATCAGCGGTGCTTTTGGTTGACTCTATCACAGACCCTTTCTGTGTTTTGATCAGTCTTTTCAGAGAGGACACTTCAGCAGACAGGTCAGCAAGGCCCTCTTTCAGATACAGGTCCTCAGTATCTGAGTGTGCATAGGACGGTTTCTTTACATCCACAATGGTTTTGTTTGAGACAGGGCTTGGGGTCAGCCTGCTTCTCTTGCAACCATTCTGCAGTGTCTCTGTGCCACTTTTATGCCACTGCCCAGACCGGTGGGTCCAGTCTTGCATGTTGGTGACTTGTAATGACAAAGGGTACGGGGAAGACTGGGTGTACTCTAAAGAGTCCTGAGTGGTCTGGTAGCAACCTCCCGCTGAAATGCTGACGGGCGAAGAGGACTTTCCCGAAGACTCGTAATCAGGATCGATGGCCTCCACTTTGATTTGGACGGTTCTGGCCTTGATCCGCAGTTTATGGGGCAAAGCTGAAGAACTGGCATCTGGCACTTTGTGTGTGGAGACAATGACACTTCTTGGATCAGCTACAGATGGTGTCAACCCTTTGGGGACCTGCTGCTCATCCTCACCATCTGATGATTTGCTTACAACACTGTCATCTGAGCTCCTGGGGGAGTTACTGGATGACCTGGTGATCTGCAGGAATGAAGCAGGTTGGGGGTAGACTCCAGACAAAGAGCTGGCCATGTAGTTTCTATATAGTTCATAGGGACTACTTCTCTCCTGTGCATAGCTGCCATTCTCTGCTGGTTCTTGCTTGACCTCTGCAGTCGTGCAGATACTAAAGCTGGCCTGAGTTGAACTACATGTCTCGGGCATGTGAGGTGAATGCTTGATGACTGATATGCAGCTGCTGCGCAGATGAAGAGGTTCTAAGTCCCTGCTGGAACCTTGGCCAGCACTGGATGGAACAAACTCCTGGTAGAGGTTGACAGCGGTGGAACTGCATAACTTCTGGACCTCTTGGGCATACGCTGCCGAGCTCACCAGACCAAACTTCAGCTTCAATGATAACAACTCAGCCTTGAGGGAGGCATTTTCCTCTCCGAGGGCCATCAGCTTGTTCTCAAGCACCATGTCATTTATGCGCCGCTTCTCTCTGGAGCGTTTTGCCGCCTCATTGTTTTTGCGACGCCTCTCCCAGTAAAGGTTGTCTTTCTTCTCCTCTGGGATAAATTCCCTTTTTCTGCGGCAGGTAGTTTTAGACTTGAACGGAATTGCAGAGGTTTTGTGGCCAATCAGGTCTCTGTTAGCCCCTTGTAAGGCCACAGCCAAGACCAGAGCATCCTCTCTGCTGTAGGACTCACTGGACTCCACCTCTTGCTTGATTGATTGCATATTGTCACTGTTGGCTACTATCAATATGCTCAAAGGTCTTTAACTGTACACCATAATGCTTGTATGCAGCAATAGCAACTGCCACACTCGATCAGTTCACTTCAGTTGAGGAAATCTGTGGAGTAACAGACATTGAGAGGGGTTTTAGATGTTAGTGTCAAGTTCAAACAAAGAAAACAAAAAGTAATGTATTACCAGGGTAGGTACGTCTCCCTGTTTGATGATTCAATACAGATCTAGATACATGGTTCACAACCTGATACAGAGATTATGGATTGATTTGTACTGTTGTAATGAGTTGATATTGAGGTTTCATATTGATTTAGCTCAGACTCAGTAGGATTTGATATTTAAGAACCAGTATGTTTTTGTATGTATTTAGTGGCATCTAGTGGTGTAGTTGCAAATTGCAACCAACTAATTACAGCTTTGCCCTCCAGTTGAGTAGGAAAAACTATGGTGGCCACAAAACTCGCAAAAGGTCCTATCTAGAGCTAATGTTCAACTCTACTCCTGGGTTTAAAATACTGGCCTTAGAAATTACCTTAAAATGGCAATTTGGCCTGTTTTGGGACTCTAAGCTCCCATACATTCAGAGGAGAAGGAACTACTAGGGACTACAGACAGCTGTAATGATAACACGTGGCCTGGCAAAAGCTCAAACATAGAATTTAAAATCCTCCTCACCTACAGAGCTCTTCATGGTCAGGCCCCTACATATCTTAAAGAGCTCATAGTACCCTATTACCCCTCTAGAACACTACGTTCTCTGAATGCTGGGCTATTTGTGGTTCCTATAGTCTCTAAAAGTAGAACAGGAGCCAGAGCCTTCAGTTACCAAGCTCCTCTCCTGTGGAACCAGCTTCCAGTTGTGGTTCGGGAGGCAGACACCCTCTCCACATTTAAGAGTAGGCTTAACCCTTTAAGCGCCAAAGTCGCAAAAATGCAACCGGACGCAGTACTGAATCAAACAGCTGTTTTCTCCTAATAGAGTGTTCTATCTATCTCATTCATACTCCCCTCCACTAGTTGGCAGACATCCCGTACTTAGACCTTAGCTCAGAAAAACGTAATGTTTCAATGCAAAATATTCGAGGAAGTCCCGTCCAAACTGTTGGGTGAGAAACCGAAATAGTGTGCCACGGCGCTATTTATGCTGAAGTGGTATTACTGGATTTAGGAGTTATTGAGACGAAATAAACGAAAATGGCAAGCAAAAAGTTTACGCTTAAGGAAGTGATGGGTCTCCTATTCGCTGACTCTGATTCTGAAGGGGAAAATGTATCCTTGGGAGATGACGGCCGGTCGATTAGTGAGCGTGATAGTCACGGTGCGGACTATCACGCTCACTAATCGACCGGCCGTCATCTCTCGCTCTGCACCGGCGCTGCACACAAGCACAAACACACGACCCTTTGCCCAACATAGGTGGGAGTACTACACAAACTCGTAGTATCAGTAAGGGAGCTAATGGATGTGGTAGAAGTAGTGGGGGTGGTGAGAATAGTGCTGGGACCAGTGTTAGTGTTCACTCTTTCTACTGCGCCGGTCACAGTGCGTCCATTCGCGGCAGTGGCGCAGCCATCCGATGCGACAGTGTGCCTGTCCATTTGTTAGGCTATGTGGGGGGGTCTCAATATTATTCATATTGTCTCTGTACTGTGCCTTGTAATGAGAGGTTCCACACTCTACAAATACTACAAACTTTTATCTGGATAGATGGGCACAGATTAGGCCTCTGCAGCTAAAAGACGCCTACTGTTATTATTATCATCATATTATAATGATAATAATAATAATAATAAAGAAGAAGAAGAGAATAAAAAAGAAAAGAAAAAGTGTCCTCCAATAGGGGGGCTATTGGAGGACACTTTTTCTTTTCTTTTGGTGGTGGTGGGTAAAAAAATCATAAAAAACGCCTACTGTTTACGTGAGTTTTGTGGTGTAGTAATAGTTCTAGTTTAAGACTGTTGGCTTACAATTTACTTTTCCCTGTTCATTTGATATGTGGACAACATAACAAATAGATGGAGGGGGGTGAATATGATGAAATAAGTTCAACTCTCTTTCAAAATATCAGGTATTTCATGGAAATTATATAATCCAATATGGCCGTCGCCATATGACGTCATAATATGCAAATTAGATGGGGAAATTTACTCCCTAGATAAACTTTAGGTCATTCTTAATATTTGTCTCATGTACACTTTGTCTCTATCTCAAACCACTTTCAAGCCAGAGCCTCCTGAAATTTAGATGTCAAAATCTAGTATTTTTAAGAATAAAACCCGGCACCTCAAGGGTTAAGACGTTCCTCTTTGATAAAGCTTATAGTTAGGGCTGGCTCAGGTGAGTCCTGAACCATCCCTTAGTTATGCTGCTATAGGCCTAGTCTATCGGGGGATTTCCCATGATGCACTGAGCTCCTCTCTTCCTCTCTCTTTCTACACTCATTCATGTTCCATTAATGCATGTTACTAACTTCACTTCTTCCCCAGAGTTCTTGTGCTTTCTCGTCTCGCAGGTTCTAATGGATCCTGGTGGAGCCTCCTGCCATGGTCCTGCTTGACTGCCATTGCTAATATCACTGATAGTTAGTGTTATTATTATTAATATTACTAAAGTTACTATTATTACTATTGTCACCGCCATCATCTTCTTCATGTTCATCATCATCAGTCACTACTATTAGTGTAGTTGTTGCTACTGTTGTTGCTGTGCACCTGTCTGTCTGTCTGTCACCCCAACTGGTCGAGACAGACGACCACCCACCTAGAGCCGAAGGATCTGTCCTAGGTTTCTGCCTTTTAACAGGCAGTTTACAGCAAGACATCCCTTGCTAATACTTTTGTAAAATTTTAATGCATTACTTTTACTTGTGTAATAACTGTGGTATTGCTACTTTTACTTAAGTAAATGAGTACTTCTTCCACCACTGCACATAGCTGTTAATTATGACTTCTGCTGAAAGATGTCTGTTAATAGGTATAAAGAGGGTTGGCCCCTCTTTATTTCCCAAATAAAAGTTTCCCCAATAAATGTCTCGCCTGATTTTGTGTCCTCAATTTGTCCTTGGTGTGGGTCTACACTTAGAAAGTACATGATCACGGGTGAAATATGATTAATAGATCATAAGTAGACTAATGTATAGCCTGTGGAATGAATTTGTGGATTCATAAGATTAAGGTACACATATTTACCAGTAACTACTTGCTTATTAGCATGCATTTTACTAGCATATTGACTCTTTATTTGTCATTTAAAATGACATGTATTAATGCCTTAGTGTTAGGCCATTTCCCTAAACCCAGCCGCCTAATTGATGTATATAAATTATGATCTTAATATTCTTTGCTCGGTATAAGCCTTATATGGTGGTAGTAGCCCTAGAATACTCATTCTCCCTTTATAAACTTAATAAATATGGTTTATTTTTAGAAAATAAAACACAGTGTCAATAGTGTCCAAATATCTCTGAATTAAGTTTTTCTAACGCTAACATGTTCCCTATTCTAATGTGAGTGCTTGCTCATAAATAAGCAAGACCTTAAATTTAAAGTACATTTCCATACATGTATTAATACGTATAAACAAATAGTTTGCTTGGAACAATAATGTGTGTCTGATATGTTTTTCCCACAAAAAAGTATAATTTCCACATTACAATCCTTAAAAAGTAATCTACTCCTTCTACCTATTCTATTCCAGAATCTCTGAATATGCAAATGTCGTTCATTTCTAAAGTCTAATGTCTCCTACTTCACTGTAAAGTCCATTCTCAGTGTATGTACTGGTGGCTTCATGGTTCTACATCACACTGTACAAGTCAAGACTAGGACTGACTTCCAGACGATTAGCGATGTCACTAATCATGCCGTTAGGCCCCTCCCCTTAAAATCAGATTTTCGATGAGCACAGAGAAACTTTCTAGTTTCAGCAGATGAATGTGAAAACATCCTTTTAGTGTCAAACACAGACATAATTTAAACTGCACACTGTAGGAACAAGAAGAACTTTAACTGTGAAAATAAAAAAAAAAGTATTTTAATTTAGGTTAAAAACAAGTGTAATAGTCTTGTGACTTTAGCCCATACTAAGCACAGCATATTAGTTATGAGCAACAGCTCACTTTAGAATGGGAAATCTGAATTAGAAATTAATTTAGAGTATTTTAGACACTATGAACACTTGTAATTTTGTAACATAAGAACAGACCACATTTATTAAGTGTTATTAAGAGAGAATGAGCATTCTTGTGGTACTAATACTACTTACAAAGCACATACTGAGCAAAGAATATTAAGATTCCTGTATAACAGCTTCCTTGCTTACTGTCAATAAGCAATAAATAGGCGTTTACTGAAAGAAAACTTTTAGGCCGCGGTGACCCAAATGTGATATTGTTGCTCATATGTGACTCAGATCAGATTTTTTTCATGACAGTGCGAACACATGGAATCTGATCTTTTCGATTCTGATTTGGGCCACTTTCATATGTGGTCCAAATTAGATACAAGTCTGATTCTTTGCTATCAGATCAGTCATATCAGAATTCATGTGACATTTATGTCACTCTAGATTGACATTCATCATGTGAGTCACTTCAGGACCGTGACCTGTTCACACTGCAATCTGACACGGGCCACATAACCAAAAAAATTTTATCTGAGCAATATTATCAGAATTGAGCAGTAAGGCTTGCAGTGTGAATGTAGCCTTACAATAGTGGCCATCATTTATCGGACACTTTGCAATGTTAGCTGGCTTTTGTGGTGCACTTGGCTGTTCTCACCACAGTTGATTGTGGCCTCAGCAGAGTGAAGTTGCAGTCTGCGGCAAACTGATTACAGTTTTAATTTAGCAGGAGCCCATAAATAACAGTTCAAATCAAGTAGAATTTATTTCATTTTACAGAAAATGCATCTTCTCACCTGTTAGCGAGAGGTAGAAAGTATAAGAGTTTGTTGAACGTACAATTACAAATGATCAACCACGACAAAAAATAAACACGATCATTAATAACAGGCTGTATGAATGTAGATGTGACAGTCTGCACAATTTCTCGATGCCAAAAGTTGGCTGCAAGTGGTGTGAACAGCTCTAAACTGACATGGGAGCAGAAATGAAAAAGCAGCGTTTCTCTGTTCCCCCTCTGTGTCTGCTAACAGACAGAGATTATCCAACCAGCAGTTGAGTTGCAAACAAAAAACACACCCAGGTTTGCGTAATCTGAGTGAGGGGCTAAAATGCCATTCAAACTTACAAGGACAACATTGATTATTTTCCTGGATGTTTGGTAATTTTAATCAATTTCAAGATTTTCAAGGGCATGGGAAAATCCTGAAAATAAGGCATTAATAAGTGATTTATAATGATTATAATTGTCTAATTTTAGCATTTGAGTAATCCACTGCTCAGACTTCTTTGTCTATCCTCTGAGATCACTGGGTAAGGTCATAACAGATGTTGCATAGAACGGCTGGGTTATAAAACTGACACGTTCGCTCCCTTTTGTCTTTCCCAGCGAGGCAACATATGACATCGGGACTAAATTTGGATCACACGTGATAAAAATGGGTGGTAATATTACCGCAGCGTGAGCTGGATGCGCGACGGGGGGCGCGGGGAGTTCACCGTCGGTTCAGCCGCGACAGGTCAACACACGGAGGGATCGACCCCGGACCGCAGCGGCCCATCAGCACGTCCTATAGTCAGATGCCTTCATTGTGTCCGTATTACATTGCCGCCCCCCCTCCGACTGCCAGTAATTTCTACAGCTGCAGATATTATGCAATATTTGCAAGTGTGGCAATAACAATACGGGCCTGTTTGTTCTTCTTTGTGTACAAGTAAACATATATATTGGTGAATATGTGTGTGTTGGGTGATTAACCCTATGTGTAACAGGCTGTATGAGACAATGTGGGCATTCACTGTTACATGACATCATTGCGTTGCTTACTCATGACAGCGGCGGCCGGAGCGTGGGCTCTGTACGCCCTGAGAGAGAGCAGTTGTAATGGGAGGACAGAGGACATAAAGAACAGCCTAGGAAACGTGCCTCGTTGACGTTATTTGGATTAAGAACTTCATTAAAGTCACACACTCACAGCGGCCATAAGGCTTTCATAACGCTCCTGCCAGCAGCCACATCAAATTCTGTTACAACACTGTGTCGCAATCCGTAACGTTAACCTCCTGCTACTGCGAGGCCTCCGTCCCCCAATAAAACACAACGTATGTCTCTAATACCAGCCAATGTTGGCATTTTATCTGCTAATGCTACTAACCGAGCCGGTACACGTTGACTCGAACTTGGAGCATGGTTAACTTAACGTTACACTTTTAATGGGAGTCCTAACATGGCTAATGGAAGTTTAGAATGAGTCTACAGACAGGAGACGCTAGCAACATGACAGAAATGTAAGCTAGCTGTGATTCTGTAAACAGAAGAGATGTGTGTGACAGCAGGAGTAACAACAACCTCAAAGCACGACTGTACCTTTTCTAGCACCTGGTCGGAGGGTTCGCTCTGCTCTTCCACCGCCTGTCAGCCACAGGGAACAAGTTTAGCTTTCCCATCAGCTGATAAGGAAATAACTTGACAAAATCCTACAAGTTGCGAAGTACCAAGCTCTCCTCCCACGGCTTTTTCCCTCTCAAGGTGGCTACTGACTCATGGATCTGTGTTAGTAGGTCAGTGGTTAAGTGTATTGGCAGCGTGACATTAAACGACAGCCGCTGCAGCCAATCGGAAGGCAGCATTTTCCAACTGTAGCCAATGACTCTTGGCCTTAGCGCAGAGCTCAAATCTCAGTGTGTCGTCATCGACAGAGCGTGCGGGGTATTTTAGGCGCGTCAGTTCACTACACTACGTGGATGGTCATGATTTTATAACCAAATAACGCAGACATATTTGTTAATATGTTCGTACTAATTCATAAATAAGCACCTTTCAAAAGATAATGCTTCAGGATGGGACTTATTTAACCAATATATAAATGATATATATATATATATATATATATATATATATATATATACTGTATATACAGGCTGAGTCAATTGTTGTAATTTTACAACACAGTGTTGTATTGTGAGCAATGACGGGCTAGTTACTCAAACTTATTTATTATTATTATTTATCAAAAGTAACATGATTACTTTACTTATTACTCCCTGTCAACAGTAATTAGTTACACTACTAGTTATATTACTTTTCATATGCTCCCCACAAAATATGTAATCATGTCTCTTCTCCCCAAAATCTGAAATAAAACGTGTACATCTGTGTTTAATAATGTTATAAAGTAAGGCAGTGTGACAAATATAAAACAAGTGCAAGTGGGAAAAATAGGAATTTTTCTTACCAGTAAAGACAGTAGTAATAAGTGAGCTCAATACACGAAAAAAAGAGAAAACAAGAATTTATAAAAGTGACAAAATGCATAAAGTAATAACTAATATGTTCTATTTCTACATTTCACTGTGCAGCCCTGTGTTTTAAAATGACAGTTACATGGTAAATGGTTAATGGACTGTACTTGTATAGCACCTTTTAGTCTTCCGACTGACTCAAAGCGCTTTTACACTACAAGCCACAATATCCCATTCATACAGTAAATGGCAAAGGCCATCATACAAAGTGACAGTTACACTGACCCTGATACCTTGATTCATCTGCATCCTTTTCTAAATATACTTTCTGTGCATGTGTGCAACCAACATGGGGTGATCCAAGCGGCTGGGAGAACTGTTATGTTGCTATGTTGTATCACTCAATGTGCTCATACTGCCTAACACCTCTAGGGGTCACTGTTGGATAGCCAGTGTAAATTTGAATGTTGCTTGTACTTGGAGGTCCAAAGTTAAGATGGCTGCTGCAAACCAAAGTGTCTGCTCAAATATGAGTTCCTGAGAATTTCCAAAAAGTGCTGTTTGGTATTTGTGGGACTATCCCAGCCAAAGCCACCTTAAAGTAAATAATACAGTCATCATAGATGCTTAAATTTGATATTTCCGTTATATTTCTGTTATGTAATGTGCTAACTAAACTGACATGATATATATATATATATGTATCTCCAGCTACAAATATTTTCTGGTTGTGGCTGAAAATTACATGGCACTGACTAGGTGACCTTGCTAACTTGGAACTTCAGTGTTTAAATGATGATATACACAGTAAAAGATCTGGTCTTCTTTAGGTGTTTAAAGACTATGCAGCTGTTACATCAGTAGTAGCTGTATTATCGTCCAATTTTCATAATTATTTATAACCAAATTTATGTTTGTTTTATTTAATCAAAATAAAATATATCAGCTAATTGCACAGAATTGACCAGGGTCCATTTTCTTCCCTAAGGTTATGTAAATATATACAGTTATATAATATATTGCAGTCAGGGTTCCGGAGAAAGAATCAATCAATCAATCAATCAATCAATCAGTGCCACAGATTTTTTCTGTACAAATGTATATTTTGTTGTATTTAGAGTAGCTGTTGAAAAAGTATCTTTTGATGTTTTCCATGTTAGACCAGTATTTGAGGCTGTGGGCATGTTTATAAGTATAATAGGGCTCCCCGAAAGCCACAGTATAATTTAAATACAATATATAAAAAATAAATTATATGCCATAAAACAGGATAACAATTTAAAGTGGACAATCTACAGTGTTGTAAGATATTCTATAAAAGAAAGAACATATACTCTGTGTACAAGTTATGTACATTGTTACTTTGTCGTAAGAAATGTTCAAAAATACATTTCTTACAACAAAGTAGACATGCACAACAGTTTGTAAGTGTAAAATCTGATTGCAGCATATCCCTATGCAATCATCCTGTTTGATGAAGTACGAGAAGACAGGAATCAGAGAGTGCATAGGTTCGCAGTTTTTCCCAGGGTTTGGGGGGTGGGAATGAGTGCTATGAGTTCAGGTGAGCTATGGGCTTGGATTATCTTTAAGTATGAGCACATTTCACCTATTTTAGCTGCACTCCACTGGCTGCCTGTCCATTTTAGGATTCATTTTAAAATTCTTTTATTTGCTTTTAAAGCCTTGAATGGCCTTGCCCCATCTTATCTTTCTGAGTTGCTGCACCCCTACACTCCCAGGCGATCTCTCAGGTCAGCTGACCAGCTGCTCCTGACAGTGCCTAAAACTAGGCTTAAGCTCAGAGGGGATTGAGCGTTTGCCGTTGCGGCTCCTAAACTTTGGAATGGAATGCCGCTGCACATTAGACAGGCCTCCTCCCTGTCTCATTTTAAAACTCTTCTTAAAACCCACCTTTTTTCTTTAGCTTTTGACACCATGTAGAGCGTTGATTTTATGTGTATACATGCATATTTTATCGTGTGCAGGCAGTGCATTTTATTTATTTTACTTATTTATTTTATTGCTTTTATTTTTCTAATGTGTACTTCATCTTTCTATTGTGCTTCTATTGTGTTATCTATTTACTCTGTTAATCTCTTCCTCTCTCTTTCTGCACTCATTCATGTCCCATTACTGCATGTTACTAACTTCACTTCTTCCCCGGAGTTCTTGTGCTTTCTCGTCCCGCAGGTTCTTATCGATCCTGGTGGAGCCTCCTGCCATGGTCCTGCTTGACTGTGCACATGTCTGTCTGTCTGTCTGTCTGTCTGTCTGTCTGTCTCTCTCTCTCTCTCTCACCCCAACTGGTCGAGACAGACGACCACCCACCTAGAGCCGAAGGATCTGTCCTAGGTTTCTGCCTTTTAACAGGCAGTTTTTCCTTGCCCTTGTCTCCAAGTGCTTGCTCATGGTGGTACTGTTGGGTCTCTGTAAATAATGTTATAAAGAGTTCGGTCTAGACCTGCTCTATTTGAAAAGCTGTTATGAATTGGCGCTATACAAATAACAGTGAATTGAACACTGAATCTTTTTGTGCAGCACCTTGTGTTTGTTAAAATCGTGCTATAGAAATAAAGTGGATTGGATTGGATTGGATCTTTGAATTATTGCAGAAGAGATGGCCCTTCTGTTGAATTTTCTCCAGTGAGTTGTGGGCTGTATCAAGGTGAAAAGTGTATCCTGGGTTGAGGGACTACTTCATAATAGTCTTGCACTTCCTGCAGTGGTTGGTATACAGAGACTCTGCTTGGGAGACATGAGATTCAATTTGCAGTTTAAAATACTATGGCCTCATGGGACATCAGTTACAGAACTAAGTGAACAGCCATGGGCTCACCCATATCCCTTATTGTAGCTAACATGTAAATGTAACATTCTGAATAGACTGCCCTGAACTCTTACCCCACAGGTCAGAGTCCAACCCAGCTGCAGCAAGGACTCAACCTTGGTATATGGGGCGCCAAGTGAGCAACCAGGGCACCCCAAATATTAAGTATTTCTAAATGTGAACCCCAATAGAAAGGTACAGTATGTGATCACTTAAGATTATTTTATTAGTATCAACATTAAATGTATTTCTTCACTACAAAGTATATTTTGGCCTACTGTAACTTTTTGCACAGCGTACCGTAACTCTCTGCACATTTAATGACAAATGATGGCAAAATATAATCAAGTGATAGCATATGATTTCTTAGGGAAAATACACCATTTTATTCATATGACTTTATGTGAACAGTATATGTTAAGCAAAAAACTGCTTATACAAAGCAAAAGTGTGGCTTAGCAATCTTCACCATAATGAAAAAATATAAACAAATAGAATGTTCAAACCAAAGTTCAAAGTATGTTAATAACAAATCTTTACAACTTAGTTAATAAAGTTGATCTTAAAAGTATCAGCCTCATGGGGAATACGTCACATGGAATGAAACCTTTGTCAATGGCCTGAAAAAACAACATCTTATTCTTTTTGATGGAGATAAGTTCCAAAATACATCTCAGTGTGTATAATTATCAACAGTTACCCATAGACGGATTCTTTCAAAGCCCCTACAACATCTCTATTCATCATACATTCTATTGTTCAAAAACAACATTAAATTGTCATAAAGGAGTGCACATGCTGTGAATGAGCATAACAATTTCCCACCATTACAGAAACCAGGGTTCAGTCCTGGTTTCTGGTTGCAAAACCTGGTTGTGCATTCCAACTGGCATTGTAAGTTTGTGGTAGGAGGGTGAGGGATCATGTCACTTTTTGCCAAACTAGCAATCCCTACAGTTAGGTCAGGGTGCCTATATAGAGGGGTGTGGTGTCCAAGGTGGGAGGATTGGCAATTGGGGCATGAATGCTGCTCTTATGGCCTCCCAGTGAATGACCTTGCTGGCAAGTGGCTTGTATCACTGTGTGCATCAGAGAAAACAAGACTTCTATCGAGGCAGGGCAACCACTGAATAAGAAAATGTTTTGTGTTGCACAGCAACGGCAAGAACATAGATTCTTCTGAATGGCAACATTACAAAAACAAGGTCTATAGAGGATTGCACGATTCATTTAGGTAAATCATGGACATAGGAGTTTGAGACACACTTGACATTCAAATGCATCTGCACTATCTAAGAAACTTGTACAAAAACATTCAGTCACTGTTCTGCAGAAATGCTAACTTCACTTTATGCTGCTTTTTGAATTTTTGGCAAGCACAGCTCACAGAATATTTCAGCTCCACTGTTCTTCAAACAGCAACACACTTATGTGTCTGACAAGTGGATCACCAATTCATCAGTCTGTGGAAGGTCACTGTCGCCTAGCAATTCTGTTTCAGGCACTGACAAGTCCTTGTTTTGGTCTACCTCTTCCTGGGACGTCCTATCAGCCAAGTCCTCAGTTGTAGTCTTGGGGTCCTCGTTTAGCAAAGCTGCTCGCTCTGTGATGGAAGTGTTGGAAGGGGCAGTGGTGACATAGCCTGTAGATGTGGATCCACTGCCACTATGGTGAGAACCAGCTTTGGGAACCATCTGTGGTTGGTGGTGCATCTGCTGGTGAGGCATGGGCATCTGTATTTGCATGGGGTAAAAGTTTTGCAGATATGGGTAAGCTGGCATGGGGTGATATCCATTCACAGGGATGTAAAGCTGCGGGGGCACCATTGGCCTATGCATTTGACCCTTCATGGGAATGAACTGAGGCTGATGGAATGGTGAACTCTTTTTAGGGCTGGTGTAGCGCGATGCATTTGCTGTGCTCATGCTGATGTTGCTAACCGGGCTGGTGCTGAGAGAGCTGGTCTGGGTAGTGTTGCTGGTGCCCGAAGTCTGAGCTGAGCTGTTGTAGTTGGACAGGCTCTCCCAGGAGCGCAGGCGTGTGTGTATGTCCTTAAAGCGAGGTCTTCTTGCTGGGAATTCACTCCAACACTCCAGCATAAGGGTGTAAATCCAGGTGGGGCAATCATCTGGACAAGGCAGTAGCTGGTGGCTGTGCATCATCTCAATCACATCTTGGTTGGAGTAGCCACAGTATGGCTGCAGACCGTAACTGAAAGTCTCCCACAGCAAGACACCATAAGACCAGATGTCGGAGTCGGTGGAGAACTTGCCATACATAATAGCTTCTGGGGACATCCAACGAATAGGGAAAGGGCTTGTGCCCATTAGATTGTAGTAATCAGCAGAGTAGATGTCTCTGAACAGTCCCAGATCCAGGATCTTGATGCTTAGTTTGTCAAAGACCAGAATGTTTCGGGCAGCGAGGTCTTTATGAACTACTTGCTGACTGGAAAGATACTCCATTCCGGCAGCCACCTGGGTTATAACGTGAAGAAAATCAGCCGGTTCCAGTGTGGATTTGACTGTCTTGTCATCATCTGAGCTGCCAACATCTGAGTTGGGGGAGCGCATCACCAGATAGTCATGCAGGTCACCAAGGCTGGAGTAGGTGAATATCATACTCATTGGATGCTCTTTGGTAACCACACCCAGCAAACAAACAATATTTTGGTGCTGTAGGTGAAAGCGGAGCATGGCTTCGTGGCGAAACTCCTCACACAGACTGGCATCAACCTTGTCCTTTAAAGTCCTGATGGCCACCACCTGGGTCTGCTCTCCAGGTGCAGTGCCATACAGGTGGCCCTTGTAAACCTTGCCGAACCGATCCTCGCCAAGCTCCTCCATAAACCGTACTGCTGACATGTTAATCTCGCGCAGCTTCGCCTGCAGCCACAAAGTAATACAAACACATGTCATCAAAGTGTATGGCCAACAATAAAACCTAATGTAATAGTTTAGCACTGCAATGCAACAGGTCTTAATTCAGGTCTACATTAGTCACTTTCTTTTTTAGTACTAGGTGTTCAGACCAAACCAAACACTGCATTTAAAAAAAAAAACAAAGCACGTATATAGTCCTTAATGTAAATCCATTCAATAAAAGAGCAATATCATAAATATATGCATTAATTCTGGATAGCTGCCCTCATACGTGGGACAAAATCAAGGCAGCATGGGAAGGAGAAGTTGGAGAAATAGTACCAGAAGACACCTGGAAAAATACCATACAGCGTATACACTCATCTTCTCTCTGCATTAGACATGGCTTGATCCAGTTCAAGGTTGTCCACAGGTTGCATTACTCTAATGACAGACTGTCAAAATTCTACTCTAACGTTGCATCAAACTGTCCTAGATGTCAATATTCCCCTGTTTCTTTGGAACACATGTTCTGGTCATGTCCTTCTCTGTATGGTTTCTGGTCTTCAATCTTCCAATCACTCTCAGCCATACCTGGCAAAACACTGCAGCTTGACCCTTTGATTGCTATCCTCGGTGTAGTTAGGGATGAGCTCACAACTTTTGTAAGAAATGCTCTTAACCAATAATGTCAATGTTTTGAATATGGAATAATGATAAATAAAGTTGTAAAAAACACAAAACAAACAAAGCATCTAGGCATTTCAGTTTTAGTCATAGATGCATGAGTTTTAGGGTGCACAGTGGTTTATAACGCTATGAGACATAGCCATAGACATCATTTTAAATGACTCTCCATAATCAGTAGGTTACAGTAGAATCAACCCAATTGTGTTACAAAGTGATAGTGACCAATTAAGTACAAGGTTTTACTGTGTGCTTTGTAGTTATCCTGTGTTAAATTGAATGGTGGGGTGGTGTTTTCTAATGCAGTGCTAATGTCAGTCTAAACCCAGCCTTACATCAGAAAGAATGTAAATGAAATACCCCTACATCAATAGGCCTGTACTGTGTGTGCATTACCTGGTGTTTTTGCTGATTGAGGAGAGACAGCTCCATGTCCTGGCTGGGTGAGCTGTTGAGCTGACATCGAGGTGGTGAGTCAATCGATTCCTTTTGCTTATTGCGACACATGCAAACCAGAAAGAAGAGGCAAGCGATGACCAGTGGGATGGCAATGGCAGGTATTAGAATGAACAGGATCTCCTTCCTGTGGTTCTCTGGAGGATCTTGAGATAGTAAGATAATAGACAGTAACAAGTTAAAAGGTTATATAATTATATATGAGATGAAATACTAATAAGGACGACCCAGTGCTCTCAATGACTTCAGGCCTGTAGCCTTAACGTCACATGTTATGAAGACCTTTAAGACACTGGCTCTGCAGCACCATAGTCCCCTGGTACTTGACTGCCTGGACCCGCTGCAGTTTGCGTACCAGG